TCTCAAAGATAATAGACAGAAGCGCTGTGCAAATTCCTTTAGCACCCTGGGGTATTCATTTGACTCTGGAAACATGAATTCATTTAAAACAGTTAGGTTGACCCTCACCATCTCTTTACTAATCTGCGGCCACAGGTACTATTTGCACCCAACAAAACCTTTGCCACAGTATGCCTCAGATTCAACAGGACAATGGTCTTTTGTGGAAGAGAAAGGTATTGAAAGACACTGTCTTTCCCAAACACATAGATTCCAGGGACCTTATCAAACTAATTCATGACGATGACTCCTGGGCCCAAGACTTTAAAGCTCCATATTGTAGCCTTATATATTTAAAATATGATACTTTCACAACCAAAAGGAACTTGTACCTGTAACAGTTGCACAACAGCATACAAAAAAACCCCGATCAGTTTTCTCTGGCACTGCACTTCATTACAGGAAAAAGTACAAATGAAAAATAGGAACGTTAAACATTAACAGATAGCTATTAAATGACAGAAGAGGCCCTTTCTGTGTTGGAAGTTGACAATCCTAAGTTGAATTCATTGTTCATCTTTTATCTTGTTTTGTTTTGTAGCTTGTTTGTTTCACTTTTATGTAAGCAGGTAGATATTAACCAATTATCAAATGTCCAATATTCTCTAAGCAGTAGATACTTTTAAAAAAAGGTTCCTCAGATGAGCCCACTGTCAACAGACACGATGCAAAAAGAAACAGGGATGAGGCAGGAAGAGGAAAGCAAGAAGCTCTAATTTCAAAAGCGAGTTGATCTCTCATAATGGGCTAGGTTGATCTCCTTGCTATGATATTCCTTCTGAGTGGAAGAGTGTGGTCTGCTGGAAATGATCAGACAGGTTCCTTTCAGACTGGCAGTCCCGTTTTTATGTTCAAAAGAACATACGAATGGCACATGAAAATACTGTACGTGCAGAACTGCTGTAACAAAATCCTGAACCAACTGTCTCATTTCATTTATAAAGTAAGTTCTACCAAGTTTAACAACATTTATTTCACATGCAGAATGTTACAAAGATCGTACACTTTGAGCTAAATACGTCTGTTAGTCCCAGCTAGACCAGTTCTGGAAGTTGAGCCATCGTAATTAGACTTCTTCCTTATTAGGAATAAGGAAGAAGTCCAATTACCATGACTCACCTTCCAGATAGCCTCACCTGGATGACTGAGAATCTTCACAGATATATAACTAGAGCAAATGCTTTGAATCAATGGGGCTTAGTGTTCACTCAGTGTGTCCTATTCATTCAATGGGTATACTCTTCTTTGGACAACAATTGCATTTTGTACTTAAAGTTGATTCTTACAGATAATACAGACATTAACATAATCTTGAGAAGCTTCCTCTAATGAGAGAAAATCCTCCTTGGAAAAAGGTTTACTATATACAGCCCAAATGTTTCATGCACATAATACGTAATGGCCAAAATCCTATTTGTATTCACCTATCAGTTGCACAACTTGTGGTGTATAACTGATGAGATGCCAGGGGACATCTCTGTCACATTCCTGGTCATGAGCCCAATTCCACAACCAGCATGTGTCCTGGCAGCTCATCAATTAGTCACAATGAGCCTTGACAAGTTATGCAAACCTCACACAATCAGCAAGAGGATTCTGGCCAATACATGCCATCAGGAAAGTACAAACCGTCTTCTGTATCACAAGGCACCTTAGTTTGATGTTCTTTTTTCAATCAGAAGTCTCCACAAGCAACTGGAGAGTTCTTCTTCTGCATTTACACTCACAAAATATGAATAAATAAAATATGGTTCCCATATGTACATCCCTACCTCTATGGATCATGCTCATCTGTGCAGTCAGATGCATTTACACTCACAAAATATGAATAAATCCCATGCTGGCATTCTTCCCATATGTACATCCCTACCACTATGGATCATGCTCATCTGTGCAATCAGAAAAAAGTGGGTATTGCAGGCTTATGCCCATCAACTAATATCACCACCGGTACATTAGGATGGATTGAAACAAGATCTTTAAAGGAACTGAATTTTTAAAAGTATTATTTAAATGAATTTTCATGGGCCATACTTGGCCAGATTCCTCAGATCAGATTTTTTTTTTAAGGCACACAAAATCATCTGAAAACTAAGATATTTTAGGCACAATTGTTTTTGAAGACACAGACATTACTGAAACCAATGAAAGCAAGTCCAGAGATCTATTGCGATGACAGTTTGAATAAAGCAGCTGCTACGTGCCACTGAGCCTAGCTCAGTGCTGCCTTTTAAATAGAATTGTTTGCTTAGAAATGCAAGCAAAGGCCAGTATCTGGGCTAGAAGAGGCACCTTTTCATTGCACATACTGAGCTGAATCCCTAACTAATAAATTTCCCCACACCTTTGTCTGAACCTAGAAAAGCAAAGGTCTACATTTTCTCACAAGCACGCACAAGTCTTATCCCAAGCCATATGGCTTTCTACCTCTAAATCTTGCCTTTTGTTGACTTAAAGAGTTTGACTGAGTGACAATGAACATCCCTGGTTTGTTACTTCTGTCATCTTGACTACCAGTACACCTCACCACAGATGATCAAAGTTAAAAGCTTATGCTTGCTTTTCTTAACCAAGAGAAAGAATCTCAGCCGCAACTTTGATGCTAAAAAACTAGAAGTTTACTTCATGCTCAATGAATGAACCTCTTTCAAAAATATAAGTATCTGGCACATAACATAAGTAGGCTGTATCAGCAATGAGATTTGTCTAAACCATGTATTCAAAATATGCACTTTGGGGAGGAAAACTTGATTATTACCTCTTACTCTATAGAACTGTGGAGGGGTCTGAGAGGGTCCCAGTGTTGGGCTGCTCTCATGGTCTCCACGCCAACCAGCCCCAGGGTGATCTCTCTGGGCCCACCTCATCCCTGAAGGAGGGCCATGCCACAGAAAAGCACTCTGACAATCTGCCCAGAGCTATCCATCTATGAGGGGTGGCGTCTCAGAGACACATCCTGAAAGTTCAAAGGGCAAGGAATTCTCTGGAAGCAGTGAGGCTCAAAGTAGGGAGCTCGGTGGTCTGAAGAGTCTGGGGTGTGTGTGTCAAAAAATATAAAAGTGGAAGAAGAGAGCAAGGAAAGGGGTGGGTGAGGATGGACAGTGGAGCAGGATGCCAGAGAAGACAAGGAAGGGGAGACCTGGGTGAAACCATAAGAGGCACCCCAAGCAGAAATACATACAGATGCCTTACACACTTTTACACACTTCCAGCTTCAGCTCACCAAGAGATGCAATATCCAGTGGAGGTGTAATCAACCTCGGGTCATTCCCACCCTAGTAACTCCGACCCCCAATGCAGCTGTGGAAGTGGAGGAAACAGAGGCAGCCTGAATGCCTCTGAGGGCCAAGAAGCCAACATGGAGGCTACCCAAATGATAGCAAGTTCCTCACCCTTTGGCAGACAACAGCAACGAGGATATTAAGACCATCCTCCATTTTGGGGGACTGTGGGTGGGGGGACACACATTAACCACTCCCTAACTTGTGATTTAAGCACTACCCAGAACTGGTGGACTGAGAGAATTAAAGAACTAAAAGAATAGTAATAGGGTTGTGTTACTCTGTTTCTTCAGTTACTGAGGTTGTGTTGCAAAGCAGCTTCGACTCCTGCTTTGATGGATCCCTTTGATGACCCTCCCTATGGAGGACTTAGGAGCATGCACGCACCCTCACCCTTTGGCAGACAACAGCAACGAGGATATTAAGACCATCCTCCATTTTGGGGGACTGTGGGTGGGGGGACACACATTAACCACTCCCTAACTTGTGATTTAAGCACTACCCAGAACTGGTGGACTGAGAGAATTAAAGAACTAAAAGAATAGTAATAGGGTTGTGTTACTTTGTTTATTCAGTTACTGAAGTTGTGTTGCAAAGCAGCTTCGAGTCCTGCTTTTACATCTGGATCAGTGGATCCCTTTGATGCCTCTCCCTATGGAGGACTTGGGGGCACGCGCGCGCACACACACACGCATGCACACGCACACGCACACACACACACACACACACACACAAATCTCTTTTAGAACAAGTAGTCCTATTGGATGGTGGTTGTGGGTTTCTTGGGCACTTTGGTCGTGTTCTGATGGTTGTTCTTCCTGACGTTTCACCAGTCTCTGTGGCCGGCACAACTGTAGTCCTATCACTAAAAGGCCTGCTCAAGTCTTGCCAGCAAGTTGTATCTTCCTTTATGAACCAATCCATGCCCCATTGAATCATCTTCTGTTCCTACTGCCTTCCACTTTTCCTATGAGTTTCATCTTCTTTTGATTAGGTCTAAAGTACTCAGTTTTGTCACTTCTACTTCCAATGAGAATTCAGGTTTGATCTGACCTACTGTATTTGGGATGTGGTGGCGCTGTGGGCTAAACCACAGAAGCCTGTGCTGCAGGGTCAGAAGACCAAGCAGTTGTAAGATCGAATCCATGTGACGGAGTGAGCGCCCGTCGCTTGTCCCAGCTCCCGCCAACCTAGCAGTTCAAAAGCATGCAAACCTTTGCCTTTATTGTATTTGTATTTCTGTGGGTCTGACTGCCTTCCACTTTCCCTATGAGTTTTGTCTTCTTTTGATTAGGTCTAAAGTACTCAGTTTTGTCACTTCTACTTCCAATGAGAATTCAGGTTTAATCTGACCTACTGTATTTGTATTTCTGTGGGTCCACAATATCCATAATACTCTATTTCACCACATTTTCAATCAATGAGACCTTTGGGTAGTGTGGGCGGCATATAAACAAAATAAAATAAATAAATATCAATACTCTATTCCACCACATTTTCAATCAATTGCTTCCTTGGGTTTTACTTCGACTTAAGACTACCAACTCTCTCTATATATAGTTGATCGTCTAAGTAAAACCCAAGGAAATATATATATTAATTCCCTGCTATCAAGCAAAAAACTGACTATATATGCAAGTCGAATTCTCACGCGACACCTTTTCGCGGAAGAGAGGAGAGGGAAATGACGCCTCGCGCATGCGCCGCTCTCAACAGACCCCCTCCTTTTTCGGTTGAGGAGCTCGGTTGCTTAGCAACGCTCTGCGTGCCGCTTGTCCGACGAGCGGGCCTGTCGAGGAGTTTCGAAGGCGGCTTGAGGGGGCGAAGGCGACCCGAGCCTTCCCTCGAGGGGGCCGTTAGCCTCCGAGGCACCGGTGGGCCCTTGGCCTGGGCGCGGGAGAAGGGGTCGGAGGCGGGAGAGGCTGAGGAAAGCGGACAGGGGTAGGCGAGCCGGGAGGGAGGCCAAGCAGAGCACCCGTGCCTGAGAAGTCTGCAGGGTACAGATAGATGGCTTGGTCTGCAAATACAGTATATGTGTGTGGGTGTCTCTCGTGAGAGGAGACTCACAAACAGAAAAAGTTGCTGTTTGTCAGTCACTCTTACAGGTTGTAAGGGAATAACTGCATCCTTCAGCGATCCCGAACAAAAATCTTGACTGAGGTGTTGTTCAGGTTTTACCTTTGTGTGCACACAGACATATAAATGCATATATATATCTACACCAAGCTACATATTTCCTTGGGTTTTACTTCGACTTAAGACTATCAACTCTCTGTATTTATAGTTGATAGTCTAAGTCTAAGTAAAACCCAAGGAAATATATATATTAATTCCCTGCTATCAAGCAAAAAACTGACTATATATGCAAGTCAAAAAACATTGTGGCACCTTAAAGGCCAACACCTATATTTTAAGCTGAGCTTTTGTGGACAAGTCCATCTCCTAAGAGTGGGATTTATGTATTTAAATGTAGATATATTTATACATTGTATAGATGTTTAAACATCGGCCCTGCAGCACAGTGGTTCTGATTTAAGTCAAATTGATTTAAACCATGACTTAATTTTTTAATCGGATTTAATATTTTTTTAAAAAATCAGTTTTTTTAATTTTAATTCGTGATTTAAATCAATATGATGCTGCGGGAGGGAAATCACTGATTTTTTTTAATCGACCCTCCCAGGCAGTCCCAACCCTGCTTAGCTGTTTGTCAGTCACTCTTACAGGTTGTAAGGGAATAACTGCATCCTTCAGCGATCCCGAACAAAAATCTTGACTGAGGTGTTGTTCAGGTTTTACCTTTGTGTGCACACAGACATATAAATGCATATATATGTCCACACCAAGTTATATATACATATGCATATTTATTTATTTATTTATTTAACTTATACGCCGCCCACACTACCCAAAGGTCTCTGGGCGGCTTACAACTTTTAAAACACAATAAAATATATATATGGGTGTGTGGGTGTATATATATTCTGCATGTGTGTTTATGTATATTTATATTTGTTTATGTACGAATATGTACAGACATTCACACAAATATGTACATGGGATATCAAGATATATTAGCCCTTTTCATGCACTCAAGAGATGGGTTTGCAAATTCCTGAATAGGGCTGTGTTTTATTTATAGACACACTGTGTTTGAACTGATCTACTCCCTGGCCAGAGATTAAAAGACAAGACGGTCCCTGCCTGCAGGCTTACAGTCTTATATAGTCAGGATACAGGAGGAAGACAGAAGGGGATGGGAAAAGGAAAGGGTCAGCGTAGCAAGATCCTTGTCTGGCTCAAACACACACACCCAGCCTGCTGAGGTGCAGGTAGATAGCTTTGCCTTGCCTCCTAATCCATAAACCAGAAGCCAGAATGTATTTCCTTTGAGTTTTGCAATTCCAAAGCAATGAGGATGCCGCTTTCAAGTAGGTTACAGTGCCTTTTTTCACCTCTTATTTTCATCTTCTGACAGCCCTTCAATGAAGTTTTGATTGCGGTATAATGACTAGAAGTCACTCACTGCACTTCAAGACTGAGTGGAAATGCAGTCTCTCCAGTTCTCCAGTTCTCTGACTGCTATGCCACAGTGATCGCTGTATTCTTTTTAGTTTGTTTGATATGTTATTATACACAATACCTGGCAAATGTTCTAAAAATTTAACTACAAACAATATAATTAGCATATAGTATGACAATAGCGTTTGTTAAGAACAATCGATAGTACCATAGTGAAACAATGAAAGAAGGAAAGGCACTGGGTTAAGAAATATTTAATGTTATATATTTTTTAAAAAAACTTCTACTGAAATTGAATATATTTACAAATGACACTTAACAAAATAAGAGGAGTATGAGTACCTGCACTGAGAGACTCATTTTCCAGTGCTCTAGAAAGGAGCCAATGGAGAGAGGGGGGTGAAAGATGACAAATTAACAGTACACATTCATTTGGGTTGTGCACATTTAAGGTTTATCTCAGTAGGAGAAACAAGATGAAAGGGTTTCATGCAAAGGAAAGAGATGGGCAGATAGGCATTTTGAGTCACTGATCTTAAAACTGATGGATCCGAATCGAGGAAATAGATGGTGCCCTATTCTCATGTCACTTCCATCAACAACACCTGCATTGTCTTGTTTTCTTAGACATTGTCTTTATTAAGCTAAATAAAACTAAGAAAAAAAGAATATTGATTGCATGCATTAAAGTATTTCTAGAGTTATAGCTGTAATATATTGATATTTGTACATGTGTGCAAATAATTAGCTGTTCATGGCAGATGCCTACTAATTGCAGAACTGAATGTAACTTCTCAGCAACTCAACAAGCCCAGGATTAGCTAAGCTGCACCCACATATTGGGATAGTTAGCCACCCACATATCCATCAACATGTTACTGCTCAACCTTTACTACTTACTTCTACTTCTTTCCCTAAATGGTGAATCTGATACAGAAGGTCTTCAAAAATAAAGGATGAGGCATTCTGATTCTATAATTAGGTTCGTTTTTGTATACTTAGTTTGTACCATTAGAAGTTCCATTAGAAGGTCCTAATGAGTTCAAAGTTCCTTTTTTGTTATTTGAACTTTTTGGTTTGAATTTTTCTGAAGCAACTTTACTGCATTATCTCAGTAACAGGTAACTGTCATATTACCTATTCATTGTCTCTTCTCCAGGCTAAACATACCCAGCTCATTCAGCCTTTCCTCAGAGGACAGTCTCCAGGCCTCTTGCAATATATGTATAATACTTCCTTCTGGACATACAGTATTCCAGTTTATCAATATCCTTCGAGAATACATTTGTCAATATCCTTGTTAAATAGTTGTGCCCAGAACTGGACACAGTATGCAGGTGAGATCTCACCAAAGTAGAATACAGTGGTACCAATACTTGATAGTTATCTGACCTTACAATTCTGTTTGTGAACTGACTCGGGAGAATAAAAGTGGGGTCGGTACCTGTATTTATGCTTTGAACATTGTGGAGGAGAAGCATGTGTTACAAAGGATGCACAGATTAATAAGTTAACTGTATATTATTTCTTAAAATGTAAAGTACTTAGGTTTTGGCTTTTTAACTTCTGTTGGGCCAGAAGACCACTTTTTCTTACAATTTTTATAAAGACTAGGGTCACCAGGCAAACAAGAAAAAGTGTTAAATGTGTGACATGAAAACAAAGTTAACGCTAATGAAAAATGGAGAAATGTGCTTAGAAGAGATCTTCCTGAAAGCCTTTTGACTACTAGATGACACAGAAAAATAGGGGAATCTGACCTATGGCAATCAGGTATGATATTGGGACTGACTGACTGATTTGCCCCAGTTGGCATGTATGTTAGAGTATTGGGCCAACATCAGCACACATGCTGGTGTTTTGGATATAAGATATATTTTGGGTTATTGTGCCAAATGCTCCTCTAGTATTTTTTGTTTTGTTCTGCCTTAACAATGTAACAGTATATACTAGTTCAAATCAGTGGACCATCACTCTGTGTTGAAGATAAGGAAATCGCCACTGCCTCCAGTTCCCTCATGCAAAGGAAAAATTACAAGGTGCATGGATCCTAATACTGTAAAACATGCTAAAAGTTGTAACCTTTAAAATAAGGCATTATAACTAGGTCCACTTAATATATACAGAATGTTATACACTTACATGAATTTTTTATAAGCAGTTGTTTTAGAAGGCAAGAGTAGCCTTAGGTTTTGTGTTTAATTATACTGGAACAAAATATGTCTAGGCATGTCAAACTTTTATAGTTCATAATGAGTTTATTGCACATAATAATTATGGGTTCAGTAATTAAAAGTTTAAAAATTGCTGCTGTTTTATTTAATATAAATGATAAATCAGATATTTCTTTTGCCTTTATATAAGTTGAAGTTAAGATGTGTCAAACATCAATCTTATGTTTCATATTATAGTAATTGTATATTAGTAAGACTTCAAGCATGGGAGTTGTATGAGTAAAAAACCTCTATCAGGTTAAAAAAAACAGATTGGCTAAGGGCTGAATTTCTTTTGTTGTTTAACATGCTGTACATAACGTACACATACAGAAGTAATTTATAATAATAATTATGAAACTTTATTTAGGGGAGTTCCTGGAAACGAGAGTCTGTAGCACTTACAGCCGTGGCATTACAAGATCATATTTTACATAATCTTCAGCTCCAGAATCTTTCATTAGCTGATCCTCTTAAATCAAAAGCACAAAATAAAAAGAATATATATAGACCTGTGAATAAAGAGACAGTCAGACCAATAATAGATACAGGACTAAGGAAAACAAACAGTCATCAACCAAAAAATGAAGACCCAGAAAAAGAATATGTGCTTGATCCTTCTCCTCAACCGCTCACTTTAGGTAAATCAATATTTCCAGTGTGTATATGTTGTTGTTTTAAACACAAATTAGATTTCACTAGGTTATGTATGTATGTCTGTGCTTGGTTTGTTTTTTATTGCACTTTCAGAATACCCAGTAAGCAAAGCATTCTGATGTAAAATACAAACAATAAACACTACTGAAATACAGTATAACACAACCAAGATAAATGTGGAAGTCAGTTATGTTGGGAAAAGTGGAGGGCATCAGGAAAAGAGGAATACCAAATATGAGATGGACTGACTCCCTAAAGGAAGCCACAGACCTGAGTTTAGAAAAGATGAGCAGGACAGCTGATGACAGAACATTTTGGAGAGTGCTCATCCATAGGGTTGTCATAAAGCAGAGGCAACTTGATGGCACATAACAACCAACAACCACAACAAAAATATTCATAGAGACCATGAAGAACTGGAAGTAAGGGCTAAAAATAATACAGTAGGTGAAAACTAGTAACAAAATAAAATACAAACATAATTATTTTTAAAAATAAACACTTGCCACCTTGCACTGAAAATATCATAATGCAGACATAAGGCAAGCCTTTCTGGGGAAGCAGATTGATAGACGGGGTGCCGCCAACTAATCCTCTCTCTTGTAGCCACATGCTGCATATGATGTGGTAGGAGCACCTAGAGGAAGACTTCAGATGATGACTTTGGAATCTGAGGATAGAAGAGGACATACTCCTCCAGATAATGATAACTCTGCCCCAAGTAGTTCAGAATCTGTTGTCCACCCTTGATTCTTACAACCATGATACCTCAGCATCTGTTTCCAGCAGTTGCCAGCTTGTTCCTTGTAGAAAGGCACTACCTCTGAACATGGAGGTTCTGAGTCTGATATACAGGAGAAAACTAGAAGTAGTTCAAGACTTAGAACCAAGCAAATCTTTTTTCTGGAAGGAAAGGCAAATGAAACTGATTGTGCAGTAGTTTTAAAAATGGCACTATTATTACAAACATTTTTGCTGAGTTTCTGTGATGAGTTCAGCTTACGTGAAAAGTTATCTCAGGAAGACAAGAACAATGTAAATGTTCATGAAGTTATATGTGCAGTAGTCTTTAAAATAATCAGATCCTTTAGCTCAGGCTTTTGGTTAAAGAGCATTGTTCTGAACAAGTTTTTTTTTTTTGCAATATTTTTCCATCTCTTGGATATGCTAATTGATTCCCACAAGAATAAAAGATAGCTAAAAACCATTCTGCCATAATACTGTAAAGGTTTTTGCCATTTAGGAAAGTTTTTTAGATGAAGTTGCATTAGCACCACCTAGGGTTGTATTCTTATAAGTAGATAACTACTTGATGTTTATTGTTTTTGCAAAATATAGTTACTAGTCTAAGCATAACATTTTTACTTAACCTTTGCCTACCCCTTACTAAAAACTTTACAAGTCATGTTTTTGTAATTATGTGCCTGTGGTTAAAATACATATTTCAAATCAAAAAGCAGTAGACATGCCTCTCAATGAAATACATGGTTTCAGAAGCTTAGCATCCTGCCTCAGGAAATAAGAGTTGCAGAGGGAACATTTAATATTGCTATGAGATAATATTTAATGTTAACCAACTAACAGTCAGGAGACCTGCCCAGCTGCCATTTTTACAGCTTCTTGACTTTCTCTTTTCAATCTTCCACGTCACACTTATAAACTTAATAGCAGAAATATATCTGAACACTTGACTTTTTCTTAGTTTCCTTTTCAGAGACACACATTTCTAAAACATTTTTTTAAATCTGTAATTTCTTTTTTCAAGTGTGAAAACCCAGTCCTGCAAGCACATGAACAGAAGGTGGTTTTAATTAGAGCTTAGAAGTATATAAATTTACATAACTATGCATTGTGTATATAGCTTGGAGAACAAAATATCATTAATGTATACTCTACAAATTGTATCTCTCTGCACTGAAATATTCAACAGGCACTGGAAAAAAACCTTAAATGTATTTCTTACATAATATATTTGTGAAGGCAAATACTGTATGTATTTCTTACATAGCTCTTCGGTGAAGACTGGAAATGTCTGTAGTGTGCTACAAAGTTGCCAGCACAGCTTCCAGTGTAGCCAGCAGTAACAAACTTGGACCAGTGTGGAAATTATATATTGGAATGCAAGTATAGAGCCCCAAAGAAGCAGCGGTTCAGTTGTCCTAATGTCACAGAAAGATGGATAAGCAAAATTGTCTCTGGCTGTCTTCGTCTGAATTGTTCAAGTCATGTAGAATATGAATGGGGAATGTGTGGTGATCCAAGTGCCACTAGACTGCAATATAGGTTTTGTTGCAGCCCATAAGTCTCGGAAGGGTTGCACACTGTCCTTTCCTATTAAGGAGAGGAGGGATGGGAGTGGAGGAAGCATGAGTTTTAAAAGGCAGGAACCAGAGGCCATGGAATTCTTTTCAATGGGCATTCTGAGAAATGCGCTATGGGTTGCTATTCTGCATTCACATAATTGTTCCAAGGAATTTCCATAGTATGGAATTCTTTTCACACAGCAGTAGGTAAATACATATGGGCTAGGTTGTAAGGTCTCCAGTCATGTACTTATGCTTATTGTCACCAATCACTGCATTTTCTGTTGTCTGGTAACTTCAGAGAAGCATAGTATGAACTACTATTTGCTTGAGAAAAACACAGACTACCTGTTAAATTCCCCTCAGATGTCACATCTTCCGTATAAACAATTAAGACCTTAGGTAAATAAAACAAATGAAGGTGCCTAAGACTAAACCTCATTTAAAACAGTGGGATGTACTACAAAGTATAAATGCATGGAATTGTGTTGGTGGTGTTCCATTTGAAAATATTTTGGTGCATTCAGAATACTAAAATGTTGGACTCTGGTGATTTTAAAGTAATCTATCAACAAGCATTTGTGGATATTTGTGCACAAAATGACATTTGTGGCAAATTTCTGATGATTAATTATAGAATCAAATAATGCATGCAGTTTGCAACAACTCTAAAACAGATTCACTTTTTTGAGTGCTAAAGCCATCTAAGAAAAGTGAGTTTATTGCTTTTGTAATTATATTGTTTTTGTCATATCCCCAGTTTTCAATCTAGTAATGCAATATGAGCTACTGTAGTCTTAAAAGCCTCTCCTCCATGGACATCAAATAGATGTTTATGTTTATATAAAGTTACCCAGTCTACCCAGTAGCGAAGAACTATTCATTTTGAAAAATGAAATTATTTGTCTGTAGCTCAGAAACTTGGGTTGGTGGAACCTCCTGCCATGCCATTAACAATGGAGGAATGGGAGCATGTGAAGCAGCGATCCATAAAGCAGGGAGATTCTATTCAACCTTGTGCTATATGCAGAGAAGAATTTGCACTTCAGCCGCAGGTACTTCAGCCATCTTCATGCTATGGTATAGCTGTCCTGTATAATAACCTTTGGGAGCCTTGGGATTGGGTGGAAAACTTTAATAATATTGCTGAGCTCCCAATCCCAAGGCTCCCAAAGTCTTCTCCAGGGCAAAAGGGAGCCGTAGGGAGGGAGGAGATAGAGAGCTTTTCATTCATTTAAATTAAACATTTCTGGCACCTGGATCCAGTTTATGCCAGCACGACTATGCAGACAGGAATTTTTCTCACTGTTGGACTCCACTGTCCTAAACACCAGTGTCATCTTGTCTAATGAAGAAAATTGAGATGATATGCTTCTGTGGAAATACACTGATAGCACACACTGTAAGATTGCACTTCCAAAATCTACTGTATCCCAGCAAGAATTTACATTTGTATAATTCTTACTGCAAGCTGAATGCAGTTTCATCTTAATTAGTTGACATTTTCTTCATTTGAACTTTGTTATTCTAGTGAAATCACTTACAACCTTTACTAGATGGAGTATTTTAAAACTGCAGTGAAACCTAAAATGTTCTACTTGAAAATTATCTGCCATGCATTTGCAAATTTTTATTAGTTGAAGTATGAAGTGTGCATTTTCTGCATGAATTTAAGCTTTACAATGTACTGTATTTTTATTTTCTGTGAACAGGTGTTGCTTTCGTGTTCTCATGTATTTCACAGAGTGAGTAAAACCCTAACTTTGTAAGTTAGAAATGAAATTTGCATCCAATCAGACTTATACATTGTAGATCTTGTAATCATATAAGTGTAACAGTTTGAATAAATCTTTGTGTTCCTGAATGTCATAGTTCAAAATACAGTTTCAGAATATTGGCTGAAACGCAGTAGTAAGTTACATCTAGAGTAGGCCTATTGAATTACTATGACTTGACTCACTAAAATCCCCACTGAATCAACAGGTCTACTCTAGTTGCAGCTTACATTTGGATTTCAGTCAATGAGTTGAGATAATGAGATAGCTTGTTATGAGTGTGCTACCTCATGGTGGTCTCCATCTGGTCGTTCCAAGTAGCACTTTGTTTGAAAAAGTCACTCTAGAAACATTTGAAGTAGAAAAGGTATATTTACTTACAGTTACCATCTGTAGTTACAGTCAGAAGGGGGGAAAGGAAGGAAAAATGGGGTCACCCGCATGTGGAAGACTTTCCAGTGCTTGGATAAGTGTCAGAGAGGAACAAAGGGGCTATCAACAAGAAAAAGAATAAAAGCAAGTAAACAAACAGGAAGGGGGCTAGAGGCTTGCCTCAAAAGCCAGAAGTGTGAAAACAACTATATCATTCAAGTTAGGGTCAAAGGGCAATCACATTAGGTTGTAATGCCCCCCCCTCTCACTGATACCCAGAGTTTGTGCATGGAAGATTGCTATTATTACAACAGACCTAACACATTGTATACCTTCAGTAAGCTTACTGAACTAAGAATTACGGTATTTTGATGATGTCAGGGAATATTAAGCACTTGTAATGAGGCAGATTATTGTGGTCCATTTTATCTGTAAACATAACATTTAGCATAATCTACATTCCTTTTTCTCTATTGTTAGTTCCTACGCAATCATAGTATACTCTGCCCATAAATACTTTGACTAAATGGGAGAGTGCTTGCTTCAAAATGATCGAAAATATAAACTAAATATTATTACTTTTTAGGCATGTTTGAAAGCTTTTGAAAGATTTGCAGGTAAAAAGACCTGCCCTATGTGTAGGAAGATCCAATACCAGACACGAGTAATACATGATGGAGCGCGGCTATTTAAGATGAAGTGTGCTACGAGGTAAGAAAGGGAAATGGCAAAACCATTTTCAGGGGCAAACATAAGTACATGCATTTAAAAATATGGTGGAATAGTGTGAGCAGTGTTAATTCTCCATTGCTAGAGAAATGCACTTCTTTCTAAATGCAACATTGTGTTCATTTTTATTTTGAACTAGAAACAGCTAATTTTAAATTAATGTGGATTTTGCTGAGAAAACAAGTAATGTTTTGTCATTTTGGATCATGTGGCCTTCATCAATGCTTTCACTGGAAAAAAGGTAATATTGGTTGTCCAGCTATGAAAGTGCTGTAATTTCTGAACTGCTAGAAATTATAATACTTCCAGTATAACTGTTGATGAATGCTGCGTGGATTATAGTTGTAGAAATGTCAAGCGTTGCTGGCTGGCTCCTGTGACATCAAAAAGAAATGGCAATAGAAGTCTTAGAACATTTGTATCTATTTTATATGCATACATTCTTAATTTACTGAAGAATGTGGTCACTTTTCCCCCTGCATTTCAGCATGGAGGCAATCAAATAAATAGAATACTAAATAATAAAACTTAAAGTCTTCACCTAGTATTACCTCCAGTGTCTGCAGAAGCTGCCACATTTCATTAAATTTGTTCAGCACAGCTGGCCCCATCTAATGATAAGTCATTCTTATAAAGCAGCTGCTGTCAGTGGAGATGAGCTGTTTTTTCATCCTATGTTCTTGTTCTGAGCCGGAAGCCCTCACAAAAAAAAAGGGGGGGAAGAAACAAATTTACTGCTCGTGAACCTCATTTTCAACTTTATTTTCAACTTTGTTCTGGGTATTTAGATTTGTGAAAGATTGGTATCATTTTATATCACAGAATTCAAGCTTTCTGGAGGGGATACATTGTTAGAACATGGTATAAAAATCTGAGGAGAACAGTTCCGCCCAAGGATGCCGTGTTAAGAAAAAAATTCTTTGAAGAAAAGGTATGTGTAGCAGTGATTTACTTTCACCTTACTTTTCCCAAAATCTGCCACGGTGCTTCAAAAGCAAAACAGGTTTCTCTCTTTATTTCAGATAGTCTTTCTTGACTTTGTTGTGCGGGAATGTTGCATTTTTGCAGCTCCATTGAATTTGTCCACAATTATATTCTCCAAGAACAATTTAGTCGTTGGCCAATTCTGTGAACCACTTTTGCATGACTCTGTGCCAAAACTCCACTGGCATCTTGCCAATTTCTAGAGGACATTTTTTTTCTTCTGTGTGACTATGACAATGCTTATCCCAGAGAATTAGAGAAAGAAAGTCATTACAAATATGAAGAGTTCATTTTAGTACCAATTATATATACTAATGAAACAAGGAATCAGCTCTGACTCACTGTTTCTTCCATTATGCTTGCTTCTTTCTGTGATCTTTCCCTTTGATGCATGTCACCTTTGGAGGTACCCAAATCACCCTGTGACGACTTGACTGCAAGATTATAACTTACATTTTACCCAGTTATATAGTCCATTGCTGTCATTGCTTTGTTCTGTCAGAATAAATACCAGCTCTCACCATGTGAGGGCATATTCAAACAATATATTTCTCATAGAAAACTGATGTGAAGATATCACCTCAAGGTAACTTTATCATGCCAAAAAGCAACACGTTAATTAAGGGCTCGAATCTTTATCCTAAATGGAAGTCTGTAGAACTTGAAAAGGTACATCAGGGGAATTAAAGACAATTATTTTTTGGACACCAAAAAGAGCTCAAGTCAAAACGTGAGTTCATTATACCTGGCTATGATATAGGGCAGAAACTGGAAGAAGATAGACCTGGATCTACTGCTAGATCTCAGGGTGATTTTGCAGTAGATCAGAAAGGATTTCTGACTTCCTGTTAATGAACCCTGATAACAATCCCACCCTAAAAAAAAAACAACCCAACAACAAAACCCACCTACCCTAAATTACAGAAGCACGGATAAACCGTGTGTATGTCTGACAACAGTTCCTATACTCAAAACATATCCCTCAGTTAGGTATTTCTCTCAGTAGGTGTTTTTGTACTTTCCTGTGGTTGGTGGATCTGAGGGCAGAAGCATGATGGGAAGAGGAACATCCCTCATAGCTGTTTGTGTGTGAATGTCACAGCAGGAGTGTCTTTCACCCCCCCAGAGTTTGCAAATTTAAGTTCTTTGTTTTATTTATTTTATTTATTCATTTATTTCATTTGTACCCTACCTATCTGGTCTTGCGATCACTCTTTGTGATTGGTCTGTAGAACTTAGATGTTTCTTAGATGCAAATTTTAGCTTATGAAAGGGCCAAAGCACAGAGCTGTTTAAGATATGGGTAAATGAAATATGACTGTAGTGCAGTGGTTCCAAATGCTGGGTAACTCAGGTGTTCTTGGGCTGCAATTCCCAGGAACGCTGGCCAGCATGGTGGTGAGGGCCTCTGGGAATTGAAGTCCAAGAACACTTGGGTTACCCATAGGTTGGGAACCACTGATGTACTGGATAGAGAGATGGACTAGAACTTGGGACAAGGGTTTAAATCCTTGCTTTGTCATGGAAAGTCACTAAGGCAGGTGCATAAAACCACTCCTTATATATCTCACCTTGTAAGCCCTATTAAGGTTTCTGTAAGTCAGTTGCAACTTGACAGCACATAACAAAGTAAAAGGATGTTTGTACATAGATTATATTCATTTAACAGGACACACAGAAAGGGTAATATTTTGTGCTGGTAAAGAAATTGCAGTATTGGGCACTTATTTGAAATGCCATTGCTAAGTAGAATGTATGTAGACTTTTTATGTGAATGCATTCAAGATCTTAATAACTTAGATCAAAGAACACGAAAGGTTACTGCAACCAATCTATGCTAATTTTTAACACAAATGTATACACAAGTGTTGCCTAGAATTCAGTGTCTTCTGTAGTTAATTTCTTTGATCCTCATCTATAAACTGTGCTTATATAGGCCATCTAATTGAGGGAAAGGCTTTTACTACTGTAATTAAATCTTTTTTCAAGTGCATTACATTATCTTCAGCTTAACTAAAAATGCAGACCATTGTTTAGGAAGCTACTTACATTATTTGTAAAACAGTGTAGCTCTTTCTAGTGTTCTCCCTCCCTAGCATGTGGCTTCTCAGCAATTTTAATTTAAATCTCACCAAACAGCATAATGGTCCAGGAGTTTGTTTAGCCATTTGACTTCCTTTATCACACAGAGATGGCAAACATTCTGTCCCTAACTTGATGTGGCTCCAGGCAGCAAGGCTTGGAGGATATTAAACTAGTAAAAGCTTATCAGCTGCTTCATTGATACATTGTAAATTCCAGCTTTTCATTTTACTTTTTAAGTCAACACATTAGTAAGCAATTTGCTGACATAAAGATGGATTGCTTTAAAAAGGCTCCCTTTTGGCAGACAAAGTTCATCTCAAGGCTTTTGTGTGCATCTTTATTTAATCATGTTTGGGGGCCTCACCTAAAATCTGTGACTGATGGTGCTTTACATACAGATAAAGATATTTCAAATGCATCCACACTTTGTTCAATTTGATGGGTAAGAGAGGTCATAAGTAGACACAAAATTAATTGCTCAAATATATAACAGTTTCCCAAACTTTTTCTGGGAAATGAAATTTGACCATTTTTTTTAAACGAACAAATGGCACAGATCCTAAGTTAACTGTTCACTGGGGTGACGGACGTTCTTCCATCTCCCTCTTTCATCTGCAGTCTCCTAAAAACCATATTGCACACTATTCTTGGTGGCCCTTTGACATTAGAGGCAAACAGATGGTCTTTATGCAGAGGGCAGGAAATGGTAGGAAAGCTCAGTTCAGTGAACATGAACTCTTATTCATGGTACAAAAGTCAGAATCTGAGTGAATTTTTAATAAAACATACACCAACAAAAAGGTTTACATTCATAGTGAGTGGAATGAACAAAGTATCTAGGATATTGTCTCAAGAAAATTACTGTAGTAGCATTTTAAGGACTACGCAGACTATATGTTCTTGTAGTTTGTGTGTATATTTTATATGTCAATTTGCTTTTGACACATGGTGAGCCTTGTAGGTTTTCAAGGTATATGAGTTGTTCAAGAAGTGGTTTATCATTGCCACTGCCTGCTAAGTTCCTAGGAATTTGAATCTCCTGATTCTCAGTCCAACATTTTCTCCACTACACAGGCTCTCAGTGATGTAATTGTGAATAATTTTAAAACTAATATAGTTTCTAGTCAGCTGAGCCTTTTAAAAATATATCCTGGGGTAGAAAAGTTTGTAGAAGAGAGTGGAGAACTTCAAGAATTTATTATGGCTGGGATGACATATAGAGGTCTACCTTGCCTTACAAAGTGAATAGGTAGAAGTGGTCAGAGAGAATATAGGGCATGTTCAGCAAGCAGGGAAGGCTGATAGTTGCTGAGGAAGAATAGAATGTTCCTGAAGATCTGATCAGAAGCAGCCCACACTACCAAATTTAGTTGCAGTAATGTACTTATGACTTCCGGTGCCAATTTGTGTTTTGCCACACTTGTATAAATATTCCAGAGAGTGAATACAAACTAGGAAGAGGAGGATGGAATGGAACCACAAGATAAGAGAAAGGAAGGAAGAGACTTCTTGTTGTTCAGGTTTAAACCAGCAAATTATCTGGATGGGATACTTGCAGGTTCACCTAGAAGTTATTTTACAACGAAACAAACAAAAGCTAGAGGAAAGTTTTTAGTATAGCTCAGGCCAAACACCAGTCCATCCAACCAAAATAACCCCAAACAGAGGGGGAAATGCATACAGTGGGTGGAACTGTAATGGTTCCTCCGTACTGCAGTATTATGTGGGAAACTCTATTTGTTCAGCTATTTACCCAATTTACCTAGTTTTTAATTTTTCCAGTTTAATTAGCATGTGACAAAGAATGTTATAAGCCACAAAATATTTGCTAAAATATTTTTTTTCTTTCTCACTGGGGTGTTTTTGAATTGTTTTAAATGGTGACTGCTTTGATCCAAAGTCTTGACTTAAATTCTATAATGAAAACTTCCTCAAACTAGATCCTCTTCCCCCCCTCACCTCCCTTTGGCCTAAAACTCCCATAGTCCCTACCCTGCTTCCCTGAAAATAAGACCTAACTTGAAAATACGCCCTAGTAGGATTTTTCAGGATGTTCGTAATATAATCCCTACCCCAAAAAATAAGCCCTAGTTGAGTGAAACCCTGCCCTCCACCCTTGTGCAGCATTGTGCAGCAACCAGAAGATCACATGACTGTATTTGAATAAATGTAGATTGTTGTACATGAGAGAAATGAACATCCCCTGAATGTGTTTTTTGGAGCAAAAATTAATATAAGACCCTGTCTTATTTTCGGGGAAACAGGGTAGTTCTTGGCCTGTTGGTGAGACCTGTAGTTCAAAATATCTGGAGAACACAGAAAGGAAGCTGAAGTGATCCTAACTGGCATCAGGAAAGCACTCTAGCTCAGGAAATATTAGGTTACACCAAGAATGGGAAGCAGTTGGATTCTTTTTAGGCTGTGTGTGCCTCGTTATTTATGACACAAACTTCATTTCCTGCAGTCTTTATACTAATGACTTCATGAATCTTCCAGATCTCTACAGATAACCCACTGCTGTCTACTAAGAAAAAAATGAAAAATTATTTCACTTTTCAGTTTACAGAGATTTGCCAACGATTGTTGAATTCATATGATAACCACATAGATGAACTCTTCTCCGAGATTGATTCTACGGTAGCTGCAAGTCAAGATGTGTTTCAGCAACTGGACAAAAAGTTAGGCTCATTTATAAGTGATGTTGAGTGGGAAAAGATACAAATGCAGGTTGGTTTCAAGACAGAAGTGGCCCTCGACTCAATCTGTCCTAAGAGGCTGGTTTTATGTCACTTAAATTTACAGAGAGCACACGTGGTCCTTCTTTTTGTCCTTTTCCCTTCAGCGATATACATTAAGACTTCCCATTTTGTCTCGCAAGAAACCTGTGAGCTGGGATAGGCTGAATGTGCACTGATTACATTATCATCCAAGTAAACTAGGTGACTGAACAGCTGGACTCTTTCCTGATCCAACTACCTGGGGTCTTTAACTGTACCCACACTTCCATGCAGTACTGTCAGTGTGTCCTGTTCAGACAGCAAAGGCCAGTGGCTGGTATTGGCTTTTCTCTGGGATGATGCACCAACAGTGGGGTGCCTTGCTCAGGGAGATGGTGGCACTGAGCCAAGATGCTTTGAAATATTTTTCTTGTGAGAATTCAATATATTTGTTGGTTTAATATTTCTGTGCCTCTTATTTTGTGATTATATTGCTATTACAGGCAATGTCCTATAACATTTATGCACATGACCCAGAAATCCACTGTGGTAGAATCAGTTTATACATTTTAAGAATAAATCCTTTGACTTTAACTTCACAATCTACCTTAGAGTCATGTCACATGTTGCCAGCATAAAACATATCTATTGCATTTTGTGCAGCAGGTCTCAATGTTGCCAGCTTAATGTTCTTGCTTTAACTATCAGAATTTGTTCAATCTATTATAGATTCAGTGTTCATTTCTTCTGAGATTGAAGGTCACATGTTGCTTTTAGAAATTTCATGTTGGCTGCAATTCTACTGTTGGTCATGTACGGTTTGCAGCATTTGCTGCAGCTAATTGTCAGATATGCCAAGAGAAATCTCCATTGCTCATCTAGCCGTGTGTCTGGTCATGCAACCAAGACACACCATGGCCAATTAGCCATATCATTAGGATTCTGCAATTCCAGCTGTCTTTATCCATGGTATTTTATGATCTCAACACCATTGTTTGTTTCAGGCATTTCGGCAAGACATCATTGACTGCCCAATTTGCATCATGCCACTCATCCACCCCACCCATCTTGACCATGGACTGGACAAAGAGAGCTACCCATCACATTCCCATCAGACTGTTCTACTCTCCTGTTCTCATATGTTTCATTGTGCTTGTCTTCAAGCATTTGAGGAGTTTTCCTTGGGTGAAAGACCTGTATGTCCGCTATGCCGCTCGTGTTATCAGAAGAAAATCCTCAACTAATATTTTAATGTACATGAGAAAGGATATAGATAACTCTATTATAGATAAGATGTCACTTGTGCGTGGGCAGCGGCTCTTAACAGTATTCCCTCAAAGATGTCCCTGGACATACAAGAAGCCAAGGGGTGCAGGGGATAGCTAAACCACATCTCAGAAACAAAACACAGCCACTGATTTTTTTTTCTCTTTTATTCAAGGCCAGGACTAACAGCACAACATGTCAGTAGTGTGCTACCAAGAAAATCAAATCTCCAGGATCCTTCCCTGCCCTGCCCGCATGAAGTTTTCAACAATATGGAATTTTGATTTGAACCTTCCAGTTCCTAAGCAATCTGATCATTTCATTCTCTTAAGCCTCCAGTAACCCAGATAGTACTGCGTATCTTAACAGTTTAGGACATGACAATACTCAATCTATTGTGGACTTAGCTGAATTTTGCCATTCCTTGTCGTCATATCTCCTGATTACCATATGTGCTGAATACTGACAGTGAGAAGAAATTCCAGGAGGCAAGGCCATCCTCTCCAATAATGAGACATTAATAAAGTTAATGTAGAAGATAATGCTTTTCCCTCATGTATCAAATAAACGCAACTGAACAGTTGTTGCTATTTCTCACTCTAGCTGAGATGAAAAACAGTTATTTGCTGTGATGGGTCAATAAGCTGAAGTTGGTGGACAACCTCCATAAAAACAGGATTTATATCTGCATGGTTTGTGCATCTAAACAATTATTACAGGAAACAGTATTTTTTCTTTTCTTTTGCGGGTTGTAAGTTCATTTCCCAAATACCACAAAAGAACAAACTTACCAAGAGATAGCCGTAGGACAATCAAGTGAAGCAACCATTGACAACAATGCAACAACATCATAGAGATGTGCATGAAGCTCAGAAACTTCTTCCAGAATATGATTTCACAGTCAATCTTTCCACCATATCTTTTAAAAAATATGGATTTTATAGTAACTGGAATTTCTTTAATCTATCTTCCTATTAGACAAAAACAGTTGCAAAACACAGAACATCTCTGGCAACTGTAAGAAGGAAGATTCTGGTGCCCATACATATTAATGTGCCTCCCCCCCAAAAAAACCTCACATCAATGCAGGTGGAATATCTGAATACTCAACATCTAAGGATTTCAATTTATATGCCATTAAATTAATTCTGAATCATGGCAACTCTTTTCAGGGTTTCCTAGGTAGACAGTACTCAGAAGTGTTTTACCATTCATTCCCTTCTGGGGGCCTCCTGGAACTGTGCAGCTTGCCCAGGGCCACACAGGCTGGCTCTTCTCCCAAGAATACAGTGGGAGAAGCAAACTCCCAAATTCTGGCTCAACTCACTGAGCCATCCAGTCAGCCTATCTAGGAAGTACCTTATGTCAAATTTATTCCCAAAATGCTTGAAGCATACATAAGAGATTACAAAATTTGATTTGAATGAAACACCTCTAAACAATGTCTTACAAGAACATCTTGTCAAATCCTTTAATCAGAACAGAGTAAAACAGGCAAATGTAAAAGGTAAAAAGGTACAGAACAGAGTAAAACAGGCAAATGTAAAAGTTACCAGAGAAAGAGGGGTAAAGATAAACAACACAATCTGTAAACAATGTCCTAGTGAATCTTCTGAATAAACCCTGTGTTCACTCGAATTTAGCTTTAAAAGCTGAACAGAAAGATGTGCTCATACTTTACAGTGAGATCTTCATGGTGCATTAACACACAGTGCTATCAACCACTGGAGGAGAAAGCCAAACAACAGCTCACTTAGGATGCTTAACTTACATTTTTTGGTCTGATTTTTATATATACCTAGTTCTTTGTGCTTAAGCTCATATTAAATGAAGCAGATGGTTGACATCCAACCAAAAACAATTGTGTCTTAGAAAGGTACAGAACAGAGTCAAACCATTAGCAATGCATTACCAGTATCAATCAATGAATTACTAACTCCTTTTACTTAACACTCTTTTAAGTCTCTGTTAAGTCTTAAAGTATTTAAATCTTAAAGTATTTAAATTAAATTTGTAAAATAGTTTCTGCTACGCTGTAAAATGACAGTTTTACACTGGACAAGCCCAAGACATACCATATAATTCCAGCTGGACAAGATAGGGAGATTCTGAATTACATACCTCTTAGGTGTTTCTTATTTCACATCCATTTCCAGAACAGTTAAGCATAAACAGTCAAGGGGGAACTGAATTTCACAGTGGAACACTATATATATTTTTATCAACCACTCCGATTTCTCTAACTGGGCATAAAAAGTTTCCAAAGGAGAAAATCAAGTGTATCTTAGTACGTATCAGTATCTGGACTAATTACAAATACCTAGACATTCTTCAGAGTGAAATGGGGGTGGGCTCTTGATGTCCCATGTATTAATGTCAATCAATCTATAAAAATATAATCAAACATTTCCTCTCTTGCACATCTCATATTAATACAAATGGGAATATATCAGTGCCCTTTGAAATCATGACTGATTTAATCAAGTACACTCTGCCCTCTTTGCCAGTCTCCCTATCTACACTGATTATTCCAGCATGCTTACAAGTTGATCTGAAATCAATTTGCTATAATTTTTGATTCTTCACACCCCCAATTCAGCAACATATTCTGAAACCACTACAGTACTGAACACAAGATAAAACAATGCCTAAACCAAAACCTTGATTAAATCTACAGATTTTTTGTATGAATCTTGTCTGAAGCATGGTAACAAGTATATTTCTTCAAATCGCTCTGTTCTACTTGGATCCAAATATGTGCTGACCACTGTAGTTACAGGGATAACTGCTATCTCAAGTCTATTCTTCAATCAGGGTATATATAGATGTACTGTATAGAATCAATTTAAATTTTTGTTGGTTATATTACTAGTTTTAGTGAGAACGTTGGATCACTAATAGTAAGGGGCCGATGCTGATCCATTTGAACAATATAAACTAATTATCCTAAGCTTCCACCACAGCAAACGTCTTAAATTTAAAATATATCAGTTCGTCATGAAAGTACATTTTGGTCCTCATGTGTTATAATTAACACTTTCATTGTGTTAGTAAACATATTATGTATGATATGCACATTCTTCTTGCCCAATTTTTAATACAAATTGATTCACTGAGTCATATGTTTCTGATATCCAATAATTAATTCCATATGGAAGTCAAGCCACTGGGGGTGTATTTATGAACCTTATTGACGTTAGTAGCAACATTATGATCTTTTTAAAAAAAGATTAATACCTACTAGGCAATCTGGGACACTGTATGGCCAATCAAAGCAAGGTTTACTGAGATTAACATAATACTGATTATTTATGAACTGAGGTTAAGTGCTTCAAGTTGTGAAATTCCAGTTAACGTCTTTTTTATCACACCTATATAAAATGCAGTCATTTATGCAGTATGTCCATTCATCCAACTATAATTTTGCAGCATCAGTCACAGTTGAAGCAGTCACAGTGGTCTTTACAGTCTGCCCATCTCTACTCTTAGTACATGACCTACCAAACTCAATGTTGAGTTCCTTCAACTTCATTATTCACACACAGGTTTGTAAACTTCAGAAGTTGCAATATTAAACAGAATCTCTTGCTCTGTTTACACGCCATATCCAAGCCCCTAATCGAAAACAAAAATTTTAGTACTAATAAAAAAACTGAACAAGGTGATATGTTAGACCAATTCTTCTGTGTTTAAAAAGATAGAGGCATATATATCATGAGTAACTAAACAAATTAATGAGAAATATGGGGAATTTTCTGTGCATAATACTTATTAATATGACTTCCGCATTGTTAAACTATTCTGGATACTATATTATGTACACTGATCAGAGGTCTGTAAAATTACTGTTTTCCAATTCAGTTTTACTACTACAATATGAGAATAAGTTCTTGCCTAATTTAAGAGTCACAATAGAAATTGTTTCTAGTGGCAACTTGCTGGGGAGTGTGTAATTAAGAACTGCTGCTATTTTAAGACACAATCTTGGTGCAAACTGATTAAATAGGCATATTAAAACAATTCTGAACATTACCACACTTTCCACAAGTTTCATAATGCAATCTTGTTGGGAAACAGCAACTGTATTGTGGGAATCATTGCTGCCATTTCCAGTTAGCAAGGCTCATTTCAGACACAGAAACTCATTCCTCAGAAAAGTATTTATGCACAGCAGATTAGCAACCTTATACACTAACAGACCAGTGTGGAGGTCTGTTCAAAGAGGAATGCAAGTTTCTCTTCAGCTTCCAGGTTTCACTTCAGCACCAGCTGACAACAACGGTAGGAGCAAACAGACCAATCCAACGAAGGAAAGTAAAACCTTACACACTCAACTTTCTTAGGTGAATTCTGATTGGCTTGGACCCAAAATACAAAAAGGTGAAAGCAATACCAAAAAAAAGTGCAATGAAGTGACAGGAATGTCATGAAGTTGGAAGGCTCAGTTCCAGTGACTGTTTTTCACAGTGTTTTCTGATGCCCATTTACAGAGGGCTTTGCTGTCTCAGAGTCTCTTGCATTGTATGAAAGATGAAGTTTATCTAAACCTGCAAAACATAATAAGGTCAATGCAAAATATATATCATTTTAGACAGAAACAGGTGATTTTTAAAAAAAGATATTCTCTCACTAAATTATCCAAATAACTATGTTGTTTGTCTGTGAGGGACCATACAAGGATATGGATACAAATGCTAAAAAGAGCACCTGCACATTAAGCTGTCCCTCTGCCCCTTCTAGTCCAGCAGAATCTGCTTCATGCTGTAATATCACAAAATACTTATACAGTATTTCCTAATCCCTGGTCCATATCCCTGGTTACTAAGGTAAAATATTACGGATAATGATCCCAGACCAGTCAAAGCAGTTATGGGTGAGTTTTCCATAATACATTCTACACAGACTATCTCTTGTGTGGACTGAATTGATGTATGTGCAGCTTCTACATTCCCACCTCTTCCCAGGTGTTGCAGCTTGTTCATTATCCAAGGCAAAGTAACAGGCATATAAATCAAAACTGGGGAAAATCCTATTTACAGAAAAGTCAGATCTGATCATGGTGACACGTATTTTAATGATATCTTCCTTGAACTCTTGTAACACAGTAGTCAAAAACCTGTTGTAATTTTATGCCAGTACAATGCAAACAATATAATTTCTGGAGGGCAACTGCCTCAAGTTAAGAAGTCAGTGTAGATATTCTCTGTTGCACTCTGAATCATACTACTCAGCACTTGATAATATCTACACTGGTTTCTTAATTGGAAGCAAAATTGTCTTCAAAGGGTGCTAACTTATAGAATTCTGGTGGGGTTGTGTTTCAAAAACTCCTCCCGGGCCACCTATACAGGCTTCAGTCCAGTAGCATCTTCATCACATATCCGTCTTGTTTCTGAGCACAAATCAAACATGCTAGTAGTCCTGATGAGTCAAGCCCAAGTTTCAGTATCCTTGAGAGATGCCCTAATTTCTTTCCTCCTGATGTCCAAACTACGTTTGGAAGGAATCTGACACACTGACTCTTTGCCAGCAATTCCCTGGCCCCCAAACTCCTTACCTGTTTAACCTTGTTTCTGATAAGACTTTCTACTGACTGATCTCACAGGATGGCTTGTTACACACATGAAATACGTACACTGCAGCTGGTTTAACCGATAATTCATCAGCATTATTAATTTTATGAATATGACCGATCTGCCTTATTAACATCCCTTTATTTTGCCTTGTTTTTTATTGTCATTTGCCTTAAGTGAGATTTGATGAAAAAGCAGGCTACAAATGTAACAATAGTTAGGTTAGGCATCCTTCAGTCTCGAAAGACTATGGTAACGTGCTCTGTGTAGAGGACTTGGAACAGCGTCTAGTGTGGCTGAGGAGGCCGATTTGAGAGTGACAATCCCTTCCACACTGAAAATGTAACAAACAAAATAAATATTTTGCTTTAAAGGACAAGGGGGGAAAAAGGAGAATTCGTGCAACACAAAACTATTCAGCGTATCTTCCTTGAACAACAACACCTTCCTATAACAGGTACATGGTTATTAAATGGCTGATATGCCCTTAGTTTTACATCCATACCGGCCAACTACTCTCCTAATCATATCTGGTCACTATAATTCTGGGATATATTAAGCTTACATTGGTATGATACAACTAACATTAAAAAAAAAAGAAGAAGACGACATTACCTAATGCTTTAAGTAGTTCTTCTCTAACTGCAGAGGTGAATTTTCTAACCAGACACAGTGTTGTCATAATTGCAAACAGCAGGTTGTAGGACAGCACAATGTAGAAGTTTCCTAACCAGTTAAACCTTCCAAAGTCTCCAAGAAGATCAAATCTTGTAATGCCTGTGGAAGAGGAGAAGCAAAATGGATGTTCAGGAGAAACAAGAAATTGAAGTCAGTATTTGTATAATTACAAGGAAAAAATATCTCCAATAACCTTTTTCATAATTTTACATCAGATTTAAATCACTAGAAACTATGCTGCTAAATAATCAAATTTGTTATATGGCATTTTTCTTTTTAAAAAGTGAAAATAACTCTTTTGGAACAATTTAAAACTCTTAGAGAAATAATTCAAATTGTAAGATGTAAACAAAGAAGAAAGCGATTATTTATTACAGCATAAGTAGACATTATTTATTTCACAAAGTCCTCCAGGCCATGCAGGGGTAGCATAAAGGAAAGATCGGAGCATCTTGGAAAACCTGCTTGGCACAGTACCTTGCAAGTTGTTTCGGAAATGGGCCATGGCATCCTCAGCCTCGTAAGCCACTGACTGATACAATGCTGCCATACTTAGAAAGCTCCATCTTGCATTTAAAGAAATGATTATAACTAATTTTAGAACAGGTATAATTATTTCCACTTGCTTTTCCCATTGTAGCACAGCCCCAAACCTACTTCTATTAATAATAAAAAATGCTTCTATGAATCTGTTTAATTTCTTTCTCTCTTTTCATCAAGCTGATGTGACTGACCATAACATCTAATGTACATGCTGATATTTTGCAAACCAATTTGTGACTCACTGTACCCTTTACTAATCTTGTTCAGACAACTATGTCTATAGCATTTCTTAGCATTAACTCCTCTATTCTATTTTATTTTTCCCTTTATATCAATGGCAAACAACTTAAAGAATTTCCTTTGTGGACCCTCAAGAAACTAAAGCCATCTTGTCGTAAATTTGCTTCCTGCAAAGCCGCAACTGCATCAATCATGACCACTGCACTAATTTTTTTTTTATATTTACTCTGTATGTTTTCCATCAGTATTTCATCTCTGTCAATGTACTGTGAAATAGCACAGAGATCTGCTCCTTAAGGGGGGGGGAGATAAAATACTTTTGACCAAGCCTTTGGGTATGCATGAAGTAGCACTTTCTGAACATCAGACATTACTAGCTGTTATTCTCATGAGTCTAACAAAATTTCATTTACAGTGATGCCTCGCAAGACAAAAATAATTCGTTCTGTGAGTCCTTCTGTACTGCGAAAATTTCATCTTGCGAACCGCTGTTTCCCATAGGAATGCACTGAAATTTAATTACTGTAATGTGCTCCTATTTGTCTTGCGAAGCACAGCCATAGAAAAATTTGTCTTGCAAGTCACAAAAAAAAATCACAAAACACTTTCATCTTGCGAGTTTTTCATTCTGCAAGGCATTCGTCTTGCGAGGCATCACTGTAGTACATTCAGGATTCACACTCTTGTTTGGAAATAATCACATGTACATTTATTAAATTCAAATCCTCTATCTTTAGGAAGTGCAAAAATAAGTTCTCAGAGATGTAGTGCCAGATAAACCTCTTTGGAAAAAGGCATACAGAGGGCAGAGGAAAACTGAAAAATATATTTTCCATTCACAGCTCATAATCACTCAGAAGGCTAGAGAGCCAAGAGGATACAGTTAGACAATATATTTAGTAACTGCATGGAGAAAGACGGTCCTAACAAATATATTTTCCATTCACAGCTCATAATCTCTCAGAAGGCTAGAGAGCCAAGACGGTCCTAATCTATAAAAGTTATCAAAGGTATGCCCCAACACTTTGTACTGAAAGGAAGCCAGTACAGGCTTTCCAGTACAGTACAGGTAACCAAATTCCAGTCAGCATTGAACCTGAATCCTGAATTATCAAATTTCCAACCTGCATTGTAAGGGCCCAAGTATATAGGTTGCAGTTGTTTCTCTAATTTGATAATGCTATATGGACAATTTATTTAGATCTTGTATTTTGGTTATAAGATGGCTCAAAAAGGGGTTTCACTCTGGCCAGTTCATAAGCTACAAAGGTATAAAGAAGCCTATAACTATCCAAATACATCCAAACCTATAACTATCCATTATACAATATGGGCTTTCAAACAAGAAGATAACACTCCTATTTCTTTGACAATCTGGCTACAGGACTGGTTTTCAGCACTGAAATTTTCCATGCTGATCCTGGAAAAAGGGCAGAAGACTGATCTTGCAACAAATACTTCAAGATCTCTGTAGTTTTCAATACTGGTAACTTTTTGAGTATCATGCCCACCCGGGGAATAGAATTGCAATAGCTCACTGTGATTAAGTTGTTTAATTCCTACTGACATCCCCAATTCCAGAATATGTTTCTTAGAGATTACAGCTCAGCTCAATTTCATTTAGGGCACAGGGCTTTGAAGGTGAGAAAATGAAAGTGCTGAATTAGTGCCTAGGCCTATAATAGATGGAGCAAGGGACAACAAACTGAAGTTCAGTCTTAGCAAGATAGGGGTCCTGTTGGTTTATTTGTCATCTAACTCAGCCATCAGTTCTGGATTCCTCTCTTTTTTGTTTAACATATGCTCTCTCCCCCCTCAAAGCTATTTTTAATTCTATAATTATTTAATTCCACTCTTGGTTGAACCTGGCTTTGAGGCTCAGAGTGCAATCAGTTAGCAAAATTGTTCCACCTGATCACACCAGAAAGGGTCGCTTTGCCAGGAGTGGTCTCCTTCAGAGTGACCTATCCATCTCTTGGTGACTTGCTCAGGCCCAAAAGCAGTAGCCCTACTGCTGAACCAGTTTGGGCACAGATAGGGGTCAGGTTGGAGTGCTATTCTCCATGTTGTGTGACCACTTGGAAATAGCTTTCACCGTGCCACAAGTGGTTGAAAATGTGAGCAATATGCCCTTGTGATTGCATCCTCAGTTTCCAGGGTTTCTTAATACAGGATTCTCACTGCTGAGTTTCGTTCTCAAATGGTGAAGTCAGGAATGTGTAACTCAGCTAGGATCTTTTTTGAGTTTTCCCTGCATTTTGTCCTCAAATTCTGGTTTTTGGACTTTCCACCAATGGAAAATCCCAAGTGCAGGAAACATAAACCTATGATCTATATTTACAAATCCTACAGTTGGAATGTTGTTACCCATTGTGGTATAATGGGTAGAGTGATGGACAAGGACTCGTGAGACCATATTCCTAGATGTGCCATGGAAAATCACAGGGGAAGTGGGGGTGGAACTGGTAAAACCACTTCATTTAGGGATTGGTTTTAAGTTTGCTATAAATTTTTTCTGACTTGACAGCATATAACAACAATAGCTGGAATACATTGACACAGGAGGAATATAGCCTGCACTGTCTTAAGAGTTCCACCACCACCACTCTCAAGCCTAAATTCATTTTCTTAAAAATGACTGAATCAGTTTACTGTTCTGTTGAAGGGACATCAAATGCAAATACATTTTCAAAAACATTTATTTAACTGAAATAAAACTCACCCAATGTCCTTGACATAACGGGCAAAGCTGAACTAAGCACTAAGATAGAAACACAGTTACCAATTATCTGGTAAATAAACAAACAAAAAATATGTTATTTCGGTTAAAAGCAGTGAGGCTGATGAGTTCTGAATACTAATTGCTACGTTTACAAAGTAGAATATGCAAAACACACATCATCTCTTATTTCTTTTATACCCTGCTCATGCCAAAGGCCAAGGTCCTCTTTGGTCTGCTGCCATCCTCCAGGACTGTATGCCAGGCACCCCCAAACGAATAGGTCTCCTCTAAAAATGCTCAACAAACCACACACACTTTTGATGTTGGCATATACTACCACATACGCTTTTACATGTAACCCAGTATTGGTTGTACAGTTGTAAAACTGTTTTGATTCCAATCAAAATATCAAGCACATTCATGCATGCATGCATGCCCACCCCACCTTCCTCCTTAAAAGGACCCAAGACAGCTACATCCTACCAGGGTTCAAGTTTCTAGCCTTTGTGCATTCAGAGGGATATTATGCCTTACTGCTCAAATGCTGTTCAAGCTGCACCTGCAGAAGTGTGTCAAGCCTTAGGTTCACAATGGAATTGTTGTGTGACAAATCTGCAAAAGTGCTTCACAGATACTACTGCTACTCTGCCACAATTTTTTCTACTGCTTCTGCTTAAGCATGAGTAGTTCTGCAACAGGATTTCAGCCATTAATTGTGACTCTACCTGGACTCTGTTTCAAAATGAACAGCAGCCCACCCTTGTTGCTATGTTTCAATTCAAGAGAATCTGAATGATGATACGAACAATTCCAGGATGGACAGGGAATGCTACGAACCAACAATGGGCAGAGCTCCGTGGGCAGAGGTGGGCAATTGCATTCCAAGTCAACAGCAGATGGAGGGTTAAAAGTTGCTTAGCCCTGTTTTGGAGAGTCAAGAGTCCTTGTTCAAATGCTAATCATTTAATAAGCATGATACAAAAAACATCCTGGAAACTCCCTTTTAAGTGCTATCATATATCTCCTTAGTCTTCTTTTCTCAAGGCTAAACATGCCCAGTTCCTTCACACTTTCCTCATAGGGCTTGGCTTTCATTCCCTTGATGATACTTGTTGCCTTCTTCTGAACTTGCTCCAGTTTGTTGGCATCCTTCTTAAAGTGTGTTGTCTAGAACTGATGGAAAGCTTGCCTGAAGAGAGCGAGCAGGTTGGAGTCCATGTGGGTCATGGTGATATGGCTGTTTCAACACCGATGGCTGTTGAGAACGAGGCCCACCATGAGAAGATATGACCGAACTGGATAGAGCACTGGCTGATTGGTGGTTGCGGTTTGTCCAGTCAAGCACTGGTCAGGGCAGATGGCAACCTGGTGAGAGTGCTGAATGTGGGTCTAAGCCACACATTATGAAATAGATGGCTCCAGGGACTGTTGGGGCCAATGTCTCTCAGGAGGTCGTGTTGGACGATCAGATGTTACCGAATAAGGTATGGTCTCTAGTTGTTGTTCAGAGTCAACCCTGTCAGGTGAAGCAACTACAGAAGGGTTGCTCACAGAACAGAGTGTTGAGGACTGGGAGGAGAAGATGTTCATTGATTAACTCTGTCATCCCATTCAGGTGATTAGGAGCAGGGTTGATGAGAAGGGATTCCGTCATCGTCAGAAGGCAAACCAATAGAAATTGATTTGGCGGTTTGTTGAGGCTGCTGAGAGATGACTGCAGCTTTAGATTTATGTTGTTTAGGTCTTTTAGGCAGAGAAGGCTCTGGAACTGAAGAGGCTTTGGTGGACATTTGGCGTTTAGTGAAGGGCTTAGATATCAAGGATCTCAGTATCGAGTGCTTCAATTTATGGGTTTTTAAAGTTTTAGACGAAGTGGATTGAGCGTTGGAGTGGGATGGTGTGGTAGATGGACATTCTTTTGAGGCTTCAGAAAGAGCCTTCTCCATTGATTTGGTTTGTGAGGTGGCCTTACAAGGAGGTTAGGCCATTTTGGTTGGTTGAAGGGATTGTTCCCAAAGACGGAGTTTTAATCTTGATAACCGAGAATGGGGGCCTCTGCGTTGGAAGTTCTTACAGTCCTGGCAGGAGGACATCTGGTATGCCTCTCCCAAGCAAAAAAGAATACTTGGCGTGGCCGTCGGAAAGTGGAATTTTGTTATCACAGACACCACACAGTGTTTAAACAGGCCCAAAGGGGCCATAATAGGGGTTCTGCAGCCGGGGGGCGAGCGGAGCCGAAAGGAAAAAAATTCTGATGATAATGAATGTGATCTAAAAGTTTGAAGGAAAATAGATTGATAACAGGAAGGAATCAAGAATAAACTCTGTCTTTTACTCACAGAAGCAGAACTATGAGGCTCTAAACGCAGCGGTCTAAAGAAACTGAAAGGGGAGGAGGGGCCTTATTCTAATGTGCTTTTTGCTACCGCAGAAGTTCTAGAACTTTCTGATGAGGCTCCGCACAGGCGTGGATCACCCAGGGTGTGATTCACAGAGACCACAAAGAAGAACCAGTACTGGAGTAGATTTGTGCTCGAAGATTAGTTAAAGGCAGCTATGTATTCTTACCTCTGCAAAACTCAAGAAAGAAACGAAGTCTTAAGATTCGGTTGGCACCTATGATATATACTTTATGTTGCACATTTGTCATCCGTTTTGATCATCTTAACTGAATGTTATATATAGCAGAGGGGCAGGATCTGTTCTTGGTCATTCCAGAATGCAAGACATATAATAATGGGCTACGGGAAGCCTTATTTCAGCTGAGTATCAAGAAAATCTTTTTAAATGTTACAGAGCAGTACAATAATGAAACCTGGGGAAGTGGTGAACACTGCCCAACACTAGAGGCATTCAAGAGAAAATTGGACAAGCATATGTCAGATCTGCTTTGATTTGGATTCCTGTATTGAGCAAGAGATTGGACTCAACGGCCTCATGGACTCCTTCCAACTCTATTATTCTATGACCCTGATTGTGTGACTGGCTGCCTGAGTGCGTTTTTTTTTTTAATGGATTGTTGTACCTTACTGTTTTTAATGTGTTTTTGGGTGTTGCTATTCTTTAACCTTTTCTTAGTGTGGTATTTGCTTGATTCTTTTCAGTATTTGTATGCTTGCTGTTTTTAGCTTTAAATATTGTCTTTTAATGATGTAAAAGCTGCCTGGATCTTTTTAAAGAAGAAAGGTAAAGTAAAAATATTTTAAATGAATTAAATAAATTAATCTGTGCAGCAGATACTTCATACCTCATACTAAAAGGAAAATCTAGAACAAGAGACTCAGGCAAAACAAATCTCGTAATCCCATCTACATGGACTCAATCCTCACCCCACAGGGCCATCTATCATCATTTGCCACCAATTTTTTTTAAAAGTATATTTCTTAATGTTGGTTGCAAAGTGCCTTGGAGAAAGGTAGGATATAAATAATTGCATCAAAGAAATACCACTGCACTATTTCAAACAAAGGAAAATAAATTTTGAGAGCTTCTTCCAAAAGAAATTAAAAGACTGCAAATCTATGCTGTAAATGCAAAGCTGAGCAAACATAATGGAGACTGCTCAACAGTTTTAATCAAGTGTCTTCTACGCTTTTGTTTACTTTCCCACTTCCAGGAATTCCTGACAAGATGAGGGCAAGCCCCTCCTCCCCTTGTTTCTTTGAATACAAAAAGACTTCTACAAAAGTAGAGAGGGAATTCTTTAAAATGTGTTAAGTTAAACAAAATTCCTTCTGGCTGTGTAATTAAGACTGATTAATAAGAACACTTTTTTTAGAGTATATCACATCATAGGTCCTTCTAAAGCCACCCATAAAAGTCAAAATAGCTTCAGAATGTTTTGCTGAACAAAACCACTTCCTACTTATTCGAATTTAATCAATCTGCCTCTATTACTTGATGCAACCAAATTCTTTGCATTGCAAACATGCCGCAAAAGTATAGTTTGCACAATCAAAGTTACTCATTAGCAATACATTCCCCTAGGAAAGGGGAGTGGGATCATCATCAAATTTTCTATGGTTAGTTAAAAAGCTCCATAGTTCTAGGCTTTTTCAAAGCAAGTGGACGCCATGCAAATTAAATAGGACACTTCCTTTTTTCCGTTCCATCTCTCATCCAACCCTATTCAGCAGTCCAAATATCTTCTATTTTGTTTTCACAAGTTGCAAATACTAATCACCACTAAAAAGCCATCCACAGCACTTGCAACCTGAGAAAGCCAGGGTTGTCTTGGGTGGCAGAAAGAGAAAAGGAGAAGAAAATATAACCAAGCCAGACTTTTTGCCTACCTTTGTCATGGTTGTGTCATCCTTCCTGGGAGTGAAATCTCCAAAAAAGCGCAGGCTATAGAAGCCGACAACAGAAGAGACCATAAGATAGCTGTGAGAATTAAGGGAAAAAGAAGACCTAAACAACGCAAGTTTCAGACTCCTGGAAGCCCATATGCACCACAGAGTGGGTGAGGGAGGGGGCAGAAGCGAGAAACAGCAACCACTTTTAACTGCATGGGAATGGCTAACCTGTCATTTCCCCTCTTCTAGACAAGTATCTTAGTAAATTAGCAGCACCCTAGAAAAATTAGGCAGAACAGTTATTAACAGGTAAGAATGGCTAATGGAAGAAAGGATACAAAATCAGAATGATCTCGAGTGCTGCTCCCACGAAACCAAATGTGGACAATGAGGCATTTCCAATGCCAGACCCCTGCAGGAATAAGAAAAAATTAAAAAATATTAGAGGACATTATTAGCTTCTGCCTACAGAGAGGATGAGTGCCATCAGCTGGCATATGAAAAACAAAACATCAGAAAGACTGCAGGGAAGAAGAAAAACATTCTGGACATTTCTGCCACCAGAATGTCTGCTTTAGCCCATCCATCAGAAATTACCACACTCATGAAGAGTCAGGCCAATGCCAACATACACAAGTAACTTAACTGCATTCAAGCAAACTAGAAGGGGAATGGAGGACATTTTAAAAGCAACTTGCCTTAACTATTGGAGTTACTGAACAAATTCATTTTTCCTAAACAAAAATCTGCATTTAAACAAAATAATACAAAACTTTCAACACAATCTAATGAAGCCATAGTAACAAAACTGTGTGTACAACTGGAGTTTCATTGACCCTTGTGATCGATATGTTCCTAAATGCTGAAAAGAAAAGTCAATTTGAGCAGCTTTTTTAAACAGCAAGAACTATCATGGTCACAATGAACAAAAATCCAGTTGTTTGCATTGCTAGTCTGTGCCCAAAGGCTAATCATTCAGAACATGGTGCTTGAGAACATTTCCTATTCTCTACTGAGACATGTTCTATGCCCCAAAGCATGTATGAAGTATAGCCGGAATATGGATTTTATGCAAAGACCTATGACTCATATCTGATGTCAAAACCAAATTCAAGGCAGGAATCATTCCTCTTGGAACAAAACATTCAGGCTGCAATCCTAGATCAACATTCTTGGAAGTAAGCTCCATTGCTGGGAACAGATCTGTTATTTCTGAGTAGGCATGGAATGGAATGTGCCATTAATGTGTCTTTTGTCCTATTTAACACCACAAAAGATAAATACTTTACCCTTGATCCCTTTGGCATTGCAGTTTCATCAACCAACAGGCAAAGAATATTGCAGGCAACTAAGAGGACTGAGATTGCCTGCAAAAAAAGGAGCAAATATCCATTCATTGAAGGACTTAGAATGTTTACTCTGCTTCATTCTGGCTGGTGTTTCTGAGATGTAAAAGAAAATGCTTTGACCCAGGTAAGAAAATATACCTCCAATGGCTTAAGGAGGCAATGAAACAGCAATTTATACATCTGTTCACAAATTTAGGAAAGATCAGACAGGTAAGTCTCAAGAACAGAAGGAAATTAGAGCTTACCGTTTGAATTAGCAGTAGTATCATTACAGCTGGATAGACAAGATTCCTCTCCCATGCAGAAGCCTTTTTCCGACGTTCTTTTAAGACAAAGGTAAGTAAAGTCAAGATGGCTTGAGGTACAAGCAGTTGATTCTTATTTCTTCAATGTTCTCAATCACAGAATTAAACATGGCCCCAAGAAGTTGGTAAGCTGTTCCACCGCAGAAACTCAAGGCTAGTGTCCTAATCTACACCTGGATATATGGACTTACAATGATCTTACTCACTAGATTTTAACAAACATGTGTATTGTGAGTATTATGTTATTCCAGTCATTACTGCCAATAGCTTGGAAGAGGTGTTTTCGGTGGCAGCAACTTCAACTATCTATCTCTTTGGCATGTTCCTTCCCAGGAAGCTAGTTTTCTGTGCAATCACTTTATGTGGGAGAACATTTCAACAGCAGGTCTATCGCCTGGAATCTGACATGGTACATTCCAATAACCGACATACTACATGCAGTTCTTGGTTACTTGTTTTAGGCTGCCTTATAGAGGTTTTCAATATTTATGGGAAACAGCCATCATCTAAATAAATGAAAAATACATTTTTATTTTTTGGTTGAAAAATAAAAATACAGATTCACATTTAACTTTATATGTAACTTTGGAAAAAAAAAACTTTTCTTTTGGGAAGTCTACCAAACATTTCGGACTACACATGTTACTTCAGCAAGGCCCTTCATATGTTCTTAACATGATTACTGAACCATAGTCACAAGAGATATTAATGAAGAAAACAGAGAGAAAAACCTCAAAATTATAAATAAGTATTTCCTGAAGATAAAATTTTCTAAAATTAACAAGACTTCTTGCTGTTTATACCAAAATCGTAGTGGTAAAAATATTTAATACAATATTTCTGTAGAAATTATTTCTCAGATACTCTAGAAACTGACCTAATTGTAACATGGGACATCATACAAAACGACTGATCTAATTACCCAATTTTGTCTTCATGTTCTTCACATTATGTAACTCCTGCTCCAGCTGTTTTGTGTTGTATTCCACTGGTGAAGACATTCCTGTGCAAAAACAATGACAGAGGGTTCATTCATACAGGCATTTGTCTTGCTTTTTGGTGCACTGTGGGGGTGAACTGGTACACTTTTTTTCCAGCAACTGCACAGCGTAATGGCTAGAGTAGAACACCTGAAGTGCTAGTATTTATGCTGCTAGAAGCTTCAATCATCTGGAAAGCTATATAAGAATCTGCCCCTAAAATGAGGGGACCATTTGTCATTTCAAACCTGTTATCAATTCTATTCTAATTTAAAGGGAAACATGGAGTAGAAGAAAACTCCTCTACAAGCATTTTGCATACAGAAAAGAAAAAGCACAGAATTCCTTGACATCCCAAGCTATAAGGTTAACAGACAAGGTTAATAAAGCTACAAAAGACCTTGAAAAGTATCTGTGGGGAAGCAAACTCACTCAATTTAAGATGGCTTCTTGTTATTCTCAACAGCTATTTGGATACTCACTACATCTCCAGTCACAGTTAACATGGGAAATATATACAACCTGTAACAACCTGTAATACTAACACTGACAAGAAATGAGAGCTCATACAACTTTATTGAAAAAAATAATAGGATAATGTTAATCCAAATGCTTTTTCCAAAGAGCGTGGCAACTTTTGAGAGTGATCAAATCAGATCTCTGAAAGATGGCACAAACTATTTGGAGCATCACAGTCTCTCAACTTTATTTCAAACAAAAGTTTAGTGTCTGCATCGTCTAGTCAATAAATCAAACTGGTAGACAGAACTTGCTCAGACTGGTAATGAAAAATTAGAAGGGATTCTCCAAGAAAACCACAAAGCAGCTCATTTAAGGTCAATTTAACAGTATTATTTTGTTTTTCTTCCAGCCCCAACATAATGTTTCAGTACCTCAAAGGAAATTGTAGGAGTATCTCTTTGCATTCCCTGTAGGTGATTGGCAGTTCCACACCAATTAGTTCAAAATTACGCTGTTACTAGTGCGCAATAAAAACAACACCTTTCATCTTTCTTACATAGGTTAGAATACCTTCAGAGCCAATAACTTTGATCAAATAAGTATTTTTGATCCTGCCCCACCCGTGTCCTTGGATTCAGGAAAACTAATAGCTAAAGGCAAAATTTCCCTTTTAATATAAAGAAGATCCTAGCTTTATTCTTTTGCTGTAGGAATGATGTAGGCATTGAAATATAATATGCCACAAACAGTTTTTCTATCCCAGTGTCTCTTCCACAGTAAAACAGGTTAATACAGACTAGCAGCTGTAGATATTTTTTTCCTCCACTGACTTCAAGTGCAAACATTCACAGGTTAAAGACACAAGTGTTCTTAACACACCAGGCTATCTTTAGGGGAAAGGAGCAATATTAAACATATAAACAGTGATCTTGTTTTAGTTTATTGCTAGACATACACCATCAAGACAACTGTGAAGTAAAAATAATGCTGAATTAAATTTCCAGCTACAAAAAAAATATCATCACTATTCAAGCTTCCCCAACTTTTTAGGATTAGACAGCGCTCCCATGGCCTTTTATTATGATAGCATCTGACTTTCTGCCAAAAACAAAAATGTAATTAACATATGTTGTATGGCTCTAATAGTGTTTCTTGATATTCACTCTATACGGACTACTGGCTGTATCTAATCATGGTACTGTAAAGTTTTTATCGTTTCCAGAAACCCAATGCCATCCTTTGGAAAGTGTGAATCCTTAGATTTTCCTTGCTCAGGCACTCATCCAAGTCACTAGAGTTTTAATGCTCTTTGTTGTTGCTTGCCTCAGCTTCACATGGACTAATATCCTTCTTAGTCCCAAGTACAGTAGACACATTGACTCAAGGGGATTGACATGATTGGTGACTTAATACTAAGCAATTCTTCAAATAGAGCTACTCTAGCTATGACTAGTAATAATATAGTGGCCACAGCCTCTGTCAAAACACCACCTTGAGTGCTTTTTTTCTGCTTGCCTTGCAGCCCAGGGAGCTTTTCATTTAGAAAGCCGTTGTTCCTCTTTGATATTTTAGTATCCAATGTTTATAGATCTGAGGCTACTTTTTCACAACCTAAAGTTGTATCTGAGAGGGCTTCAAATTGAGCCAGGATACAGTGGGGTCTTGACTTGAGAACTTAATCCGTATTGGAAGGCGGTTCTCAAGTCAAAAAGTCTGTAAGTCAAGTCTCCATTGACCTACAGTGCATTGAAAACCGATTAATCCTGTAACAGGCCGTTTTTGTTCCATTTTGGTTTTTTTCTGGTCTGTAAGTCAAATCTCAGTCTGCAAGTCAAACCTAAATTTTGCAGCCAGAGAAGTCTGTAACTCAAAAAGTCTGTAAGTCAAGCCGTCTGTAAGTCAAGGGTCCACTGTATATGTTTTTAATGAGTTTGCATTAAATTCTGTATAGTATAAATAACAAAAAAATCTTTTGAAGAAATACATAAAATGCAATAAAATATTCATTGTAACATGTAGTATGGCCTCCAGAGCCAGAAATGTGATGCAGAGCCCATCAGAAATATCCTTCACATGACAAATCACTGTCCCATCATAAACTGAATTACTTAAAATTGTGGCAGAAACAGCACACACTACCTCCCCAAAGTGTCACCGGTGATGTAAACAACACTATACCAGAACACCACTGAGGGCCAACACTATATATTATAGTAGGGATTGGTGGTCATTTTCAGCTATTGGTGGGTGATGTCTGTTCAATTTGCTAAAGCTCTTAATCATAATTGTGCATGCCCTCCTTCCCACATCAAAAGCAGGCACCTTCCACCAACAATGAGTTCAACTGCTGCCAGGTAATATGCAAGTTACATATCCAAAATTACAAACTCAATTCTCCAATTCTCCTTATGTAGCCAAATGGCACCATCTATGTAGCAAAAGCAAAGGTCAAGAGATTCAAGGGGAACCAAGATCTTTGGAGACATACAGAAACCTTTTGTGGCATTCCTATGTAGAAGGATTTCAGAATAGCCCAATGAAGATGGAACATACTCAGTTGACAGAAAGTGCTAATTTATGTAGGCACAGAGGTAGAAAATGAGAGAAAGCTGAACCACAAAGGAATTTCCTGGAAAGGAGAGCATACACAGCTGGCTTAAATTGAGTTACAGCAACTGGTCTGTTAAGCTCAGTACTGTCCCTGCACTAATTGGCAGAAATTCTTCAAGGTTCCACATACAGAACCAGTAACACTCTGCATACAGTGCATGTGCTCTATCACTGAGCTACAGCTCCTCTTAATGGCTAGCTAGCTTGAGCTTGAACCCTAACAATGCTGCAAGATTTTGTTGTAGGCTACACTGAGTATTGCAACAAAAAGGTATGTGACTGTAGTAATTAAAACAAATTCCAGAGCTATGCAGCGATATAGGAAAATATACAAACAGAAATACATTTTATTCTTTCCAAGAGAACTGTAAACAAGAATCAAAGTGTTACTTTTTAAAAACAAAACTGTAAACATTTCATAAGCTCCACTGTAACAACTTGAAATATATAGCAAGAACAGCTACATGATAACATCAAACACAGAATTTGTAATTACTCCACTGCAGCTTCAAAGAAATTCACTGAACACACCTTTATGTCATAGGTAACATTAAAAGGTATGCTATGAAACAGATGCCTTAAACATCTAGAGGCCATTTTTAAACAGAAACTATAACTTGCTGTACTTAAAATGCTTATAACATTTTACAAAAAGGCAATCACTAGCAATTACCATACAGTATGAAAATCAAATTGTTTCACTGTTGTTATGTTGCATTTGGTTGTTATTAGTATACACAGTTCTTATGACAGCAGCCTTATTTCTGTCCTTCAGCCATATACAGTAAGTACAATCCCAGTGCATAAAACCACAATCAAAGAGCAACCATTTACATACTATCTACCTAAAACAAAAATATACTATATAGATACGCATTAGAGATAGATCTTCCATGTCTTAAACAAAAAAAAAACCAACTGAAATGCAAAAGGGGCTCCGTTTTATTACTTTTAGCATTTACCAAAACAGAGCCAAAAACTTTTAGCATTTACTAAAACACAAATCATTCATATCTACAAAAAAGGAATACACAAAAGTTTTGTGTTTCTTTCATTTTCTTTCATATAACCTTTTGCTACCCTTTCACCAATTGTCTGTCCAACAGTCCAAGAAGGTTTTCATCCAATAGCAATGTAAGGGCTTTCAGCAGGCAACCACAAATCAAGGGAATTTTGAATCTGTAAAACCACCTGGAACTCAATGAGAAGCACTCTTTGCTTCATTCATTTCATGTGGAATTACTTACTGCTGAGCTTCTGGTGCCCTCCATCTTGGATTGCTGCCTTAACTACTCTTCCGTCTTGGATTCCTTTCTTTCTCTGTGTGTGTTTTTTTCCTTGGCTTTTTGTTATTGTTGTGAGATTTCCCTTCCAGTATATCTGGATTACTTTTGGTGCTCCCAGGCAGCCTGTCTACATCAATGTACCTCTCTTTAGGATTTTTTCCCTGACCTTCCTTTTAACAAAATTACCAAATCTCACTCCCATATAGAGGTAGATGAAAGAACAGTGAGAACCACAATAAGTATCAAACATACTTACCATTTAGCCTTCTCATAATTGCTTCTTCTTCTAGGGTGATAATATATATTTGTTCATCCAGGTCTTCAAGAATCTAAGTTCAAAAATATAAACATTAAATAAAGCATTTACTGAGGAAAAATGTGTAACTAGGTTTTATGAAACCATATGAATAATTAGGGCAGGTCACGTGAGTATAAACCATATATTTGGGCCAACTGTGAAAAGGACTGTGAGACAGGAGGCGAGAGGGGTATCTCACTTGCCCTCCATACCAAAGAGAAGGAGATATAAACCCAATCTGTCCCAACAGTTAAAAAGACAGAGCAGCGAGGGACAGAAACGGATGAGCTAGAAGGGGAGATGCAAAGACTAACTATTGAAAGAGCTCAGGGAGAAACGGCGGGAAATGGAAGAAGAGGATGGAGATTGAGGCGGGAACAGCCTTCCTATAAAAAGGAAGGAAGAGCAGCTACCGCCAGGCTGGGAGTGGGTATGGACCAGTGCTTGGGAGAGGTTGAGAGTATCCAAGGAAGAGGCCAATTATAGGAAAAGAAGGGAGATTTCCCCCACCCAGACCGCCTTATTGGGGAGAGGCGGAGGCTAAAGAGTGGAAAAGGAGGCTGAGAGAAGAAAAGGAGAAAGCTGAGAGAGAAAAGAGAGAGGGGTTGGAATGGAGGATAGACGAGATGAGGATGAAGGGGCACATGGAGGACCCTGGAAGGACCCTACACCAGAAGAATGCCCCGTGTGGGATGATGGCCGGGATGATGAGACCGTGCCCTTGTTGGAAGGTGGGGCGGGACAGGCTATAGCCGCCAACATCTTCACTGACTGGCTGGGTCCCTGGAGCTCCTGTGAGAGAAATTGGCTCTTAGATGACAATTGGAAGCCTCTTAAAGACCCATTGTCGGAAGGAGAAAAGCGTTGCAATCATGTTATGGACACTGGTTATTTGTTAAATACTCCAATAAACATTTCACCTGTTTCAAAACATCAAAAATCTCTTGATTTCTTTGAAACAAGGAGCCCTGAACTGAACCCTCACAAGGACCCTCAGTTGTTTCACATTATGCATCCATTTCTAACAGTTTAAAAGCTTATACTTTGATATATTAAAAACAATTATTCTACATTCAAGTAAGACTCTACCAAGAGCTTTCTTAATTTCAGAATTTAATAGATCCACTATTTGACTGCCATTTAATGTATGCTTCCATAAACCTCAGGAGATCACATGTAACAGTAAATAAATTAGATCACATTCATGTAACTGATTGCTACAACTGCAGTAACATTTACCATCAAGGCAAATGGCTTCATCTGCCACGTTTTAATCCTAGACCCCAAATATACTTGTTTTAAAATATATACAAGTGGAAATTATTCAATGCAATACTCGTCATATAATTAAATATAGACTTGTGGGGACGTAAGCTGGTGGCAAAGGACCAACTCTCCCATTCTGCAAATACTGTATATAGTAAGCACAGCTTTTATTTTAAAAATCTGAAGTATGAACAATTATCTGTAAGCCTAGCATTTGTATGGAAGAGTGGGGAGCCCTCCAGATGTTGTTGAACTAAACCCCTGTTGTTCCAGACCACTACTCATGACAGTTGAGGCTCATGAGAATTTGAGTCCAGTAATATTTGGACAAATTCTCCATCAAACAAAACAAAACCTTACCTTAAGAATGTTTGGCTATCACACATGCAACGTGTGCTCAATGACAAATAGTCATCAGCACTCCTAAATTAAAAATAATAATTACAACTCTCTAATTAGTAGCAATCTGATGCTGCCAGTGACTTCACTCCTGCTGCACATGTGGAATTACACAACAAGCTCCTAGCATTTAAAACAGAAGCATTCAAGAGAACTCAGACTGGTATTCTGGGATGTTCTTAAAATCAGTCAACATAACTGTACTTGTCAGCCTCGTCCATTTCACATATTCCAGCTTGGAATTTGTTACACTGAAATCACACAGCACTTACTGTTGGCTTTACAAGGAGTTGACCCATCACTGTAAACATCCGGGAAAGTCCCACTGGTGTACATACTATGGAGAAAGACATTTATCAGCCAGTCTACATTCAAAAACAATTTTCACTGTACAGAATTTGGAAGTTTTTACTAAATAAACTAAAATCAGATACTTATGTTTGAATGAGACAATGGCGAACAGGCAGTTGTAGGCAGCAAGGCAAGACAATCATTAGAAACTGGATGTAGTTTAACTTTTTAACCACACTGTTGAAATTTCTAACAATACCCTCTATCAAATGCTGCATAGTTATAAACACATGCCTGTACAAGACTGGCAATATATTGGGAACTGAATAAGGATAATGTTCTGTTAACATAAGCAACTTCATTCCCAATGTGTGTTTAGTCGTTTAGTCGTGTCCGACTCTTCGTGACCCCATGGACCAGAGCACGCCAGGCCCTCCTGTCCTCCACTGCCTCCCGGAGTTGTGTCAGGTTCATGTTGGTTGCTTCGCAGACACTGTCCAGCCATCTCAGCCTCGGTCGTCCCCTTCTCCTCTTGCCATCACACTTTCCCAACATCAGAGTCTTTTCCAGGGAGTCTTTTCTTCTCATTAGATGGCCAAAGTACTGGAGCCTCAGCTTCAGGATCTGTCTCATTCCCAATACTTTAATTTTAAGTTCTCTGAATCCAGTGAAAACAGAGATCGTCCTGTTGGGAGGATATTCAGACCGATGAGAGGGATATTTACCTGGCTTTTCAAGGGCTACACTCCTCCTGAAAGACCAGGTTCACAGCTTGGGAGTACTCTGAAACCCAACTCTCTCTACAGAGGTGAAAATATCTGCTGTGGCCAAGAGTGCCTTTCATAAATTTTGGTTGATTTCCCAGCTGTATCCCGTCCTGGATAAGAAATGCCTAACAACAGTGCCTTAAAAAGACTACTATATAATTCTGTGTAGGGCTGCCCTTGAAGTCAGTACTGTAACTTCAACAGGTCTAAAATGCAGCTTCCACAATAATCACAGGTAACAGCAGAAATGAACACATGTCCCATGTCTTGGCACATCTTCATTGGTTACCTGTTAGTTCCATGCCTAATTCAAGGTGCTGGTTGTGACCTATAAAGCCCTTAACAGTTTAGGACCTCAATATGTGTTGCAGCATCTCTCCCACAGAACAGTTACCAATACCACCCACTAACTGATTTTAAAAAGTCTAAGGAGGCCAAAAGAGCTTTAACACCGGGAATTGTACTTTCTCAGTTGTGGCCTCTTCCCTCCAGAACTAGCTTCCCACTGAGGTTCATCAGGTGCCATCCCTCTCTAACAACAGAATTAGATTAAAATGCCTTTTATTAGTGTTTTTACCTGTCAAGAAGGCACAGTGGGGAATCAAACCACAGGCTCCACAGCCAGAGACCTAAACCACTGAGCTAACAAGCAGTTCTTCATTTTTAATGATGATTTGAATATCACAAACCACTTAAGAGAGAATTCGCACTAATAGGGCATTAAATAAATAGCTGGGATGAAAAGATAAAAACATCTGTACTAAATTATCTAAAACACTTTTAAAATTACATTATTTCCTCTTCTATATTTATTTTAAGACTTACATAGAAGTAATAAACATCCCATCAATGATATACAGGAGTACAAATAGGGGAGGTAGAATTCCCAAAGATCTGAAAATAAAAATGTAACATTAGTTTATGCACTGTTTTATGGAGGAGAAGGAGAAGAAGGAGAAGGAGAAGGAGAAGGAGGAGGAGGAGGAGAAGAAGAAGAGATACTTAGGTTTTTGGTTAAAACTTGTATCAGTTATATAATACCAGTCAGTGTTTTTATAACTTTGACTGTGCTTTCCGTTTTTTAACAACAACAACAACAACAAGAATGTGACATTAAGTCAATTCTGACTTATGACAATCCTTTTTCAGAGTTTGTTGTGCACATTCATTTTTAGTTTAGTTTGTTCAATTTGATTTTGGCCCTTGGCCCTTTTTACAGCAAACATAACTAGATGAAAATAACAAGTTTTACATAAAGCAATTAACTTTTTTAATGTAAGGTAACAGTGGGCTAAGAGCTAAATGCCATTTACACACATTAGTACTTTAAAAACAGAACTTTGTGAAGCCTTCCTACCATACAGAGACTCCATACTCGCAGCATCTTTGTCTATGAGAGCAGAAGCTACCCAAACTATTCCAAGGATAAGCAGAGCAAGAAGAATGAGCATAACAAGCGTTTCCAGAATGCGTGCTTTGATACCCTGTAACAAAAATAATTTGAATTAAAACACTGTCAAATGAAAAGAAAATCAAAGGCATTGTATACAAATTACAGAGACATAAGACGGGTCAAGAGTTATTTTGTTTGTTCTTCACCAGAGTTGAGGAACCTTGCATGCTTTTAAAATGAAACCATCCAGCTAAGGCCTTTCTCACAGATGGGCCACATTTAGGTGTCTGTCTGTCAGGTAGAACTCCCACAATGGAGTGTGTTGGGATGTGTAGTTAAAAAAAAAAAAGACAAATGGCACATCTCTATAAATGAATAATAACCACAATAAAAAGGCTACAAAAATAAGAAAAACTCAGAATCTACCATTCTTTTCAATGAAAGAGATAATATAGAAAACTATCATGAACCATAGGATTAATAAAAAGCACCACATTGTGTTTATTGTGTGTATAAGCTACACTATATTACTTGTATTTTTAATGTATTTTGAGAGTCTTAGATTTCTTCTTTAAAACCAAGTAATGCCCACCATTCTTTGAAACCCAAGGAATGTCCAATGCACTTCAAGAAGGATGATGACCGTATGGAATAAGTTCAGAAGACAGCAACAAGGATGATCAGGAGACTGGAAACCAAGCCCTATGAGGAAAGCCTGAAAGACCTTTGCATGAAGGGAGGTATGATAGCACTTTTCAAATACCTGAAATGCTGTCATTCAGAGGACATGCAACAATGGGTTCAAGCTACAGGAAGCCAGATTTTGGTGGAATATCAGGAAAAGCTTCCTAACTGTTAGAGCAATATAGCAATGGAACTGATTACCTCCAGGTGATGAGTGCTCCAACACTACAGGCATTCAAGAGAAACTTAGACAACCACCTGGTAGATATTCTTTGATTTATATTCCTGCATTAAGCAGGAGTTTGGACTCAATGGCCTTAAAGGCTCCCTCCAAAATTATTCTATTCTATGATTCTATGATACAATTCCTAACTAGCATTATTGTTCTTAGCATTTTTATTCCACTAAGAATCTTCACATACTGTATTGTAATCAACATTTTCTCACCATCACTCTAAAATTTTAGAAAAGTGTATTAGCAAATGTCATCTCCATTCCAAACAACTAAATGAAAAACAAATAATTGCAAACAACCTGGCTAGCATTAGAGTGTATGTGCCTTGGCACAAAGTTCCCATTCAAATACAGCCTTCCATTGTAATAGTTTCTCTCTCCCGTTTCTTACAAACTATAAACCTCTAAAAAGTATAGTATACTTAAGATCATTCTTAACAACTGTTGAGAAAAGGCAACAATAAAATGACACATATCCAGATATCTCAAAATTATAATACTAAAATAAGGAAAATGTTGAGGAAAAATAATATATTTTTGTCCATAAAGACTGTGGATTTGTTCAGTTCTTATACTCAAATTCCTCAGCTTAGCAATCCTGAACTAAAAAGAGTACATCATTTGTACTTAGCTGTAACCAGTGGATCTTAGTTTCAGTTTAAAATGGGGGGTGGGGGGGAGAGAGTTCTTGTTAAGAGTCCAGTCTGCCCATCCTTGTAATAATTCCATTTAACTAGTCTGTTCAAATATTTCTATTCTTCACAGCAAATAACACATGCTCAAAGGCTGTTTCTTTCAAACCAAAGTTCACTGTTAACACTAACTTTTTCCAGTTCCAGACATTCATGTAAACTTGTGAAAAGTCTCTGAAATGTTAAAATATTCACTTCCTATTCAACAGTGGATGTTCTAACCTTTAGCTTTTAATAAAAGCAATTTGAAAACACATATGTATTTTCAAGTCCACTTCCATATGTCCGCTGTGTTTCTTTTCATCATTATAGACATCCTACTGCAAAGGCTCATCAACAAGGCCCTGACAATTAATCCTTTCAAAAAACAGAGCATGCCTGTAAAGTTACTTTCCAGCTGGAAACCTTGCTCATGTATGAATGGCAGCTGAGTTTACAATCTTGTAGCACTGAGAGACAAGGAAGCTACAAAGCATAATTACTGAGAAAAAAGTCCTCTCTCCTCCCCCAATAAATCTGTATTAAAGAGGATTACTATTATGTCAATTGAAACACATTAAGACATGCCTCACAATGTGTTTACAGCTCATACCTAGAGGGTAGTTTTTCTCCCTGCATGGAGTACACATTTTCTGATGGCAGTTCCTTCTTGATGGCAAATCAGTTTTTTGAATTAAAATGTTCAGTTGTATTTCAGAGCAAATACCATCTTTCTCCAAAAATAAGACAGGGGAAATAAGAGCAATTAATTTTTGCTCCAAAAAATACATTAGGGCTTATTTTCAGGGGATGTTTTATTTTTTCATGTACAACAATCTACATTTATTCAAATACAGTCATGTCATCTTCTTCTGGTTGCTGCACAATGACGGAGGGCGGGGGTTCACTTAAGTGGGGATTATTTTGGGGGTAGGGCTTATATTATGAGCATCCTGAAAACCATACTAGGGCTTATTTTCAGGTTAGGTCTTATTTTTGGGAAAACAGAGTAATAGAAGAGGGTACTTCTGAGGACTTCTACATATATTAAGCATTTGAAATTCTGAACTAAACTCCAAGTACAGAGGTACAAATCAGATGGTTTTGGATTGTGAGAACAGAACAAAGGCAAACTGATTTGACTTTAGTGCAGAGTTTTCTGCCACTCACACAGGAAGTTTAAAGTGATATACTTCTGCTACATCTGTCAGTAACTTCCTAAAAAGCAGAGAAACCACTGCCTTGGAAAATATTCTATAAACGATACATTTATATTCAAAGCAGCCAGAATCCCATTGGTTATTTACACTGGTATAAGCACAATGACATTGATGACTACTCCAAATTGCCTCTAGTTACCAAGTTGCCACTTGTACTCCTTATCACATACCAAGTCACATCACTGCCAGATAATAAGAAATACAGCTACAGTGACTCCTATAATGATCATCATCATGTGTTGTCAAATCTATTCAGACTTATTATGATCCTTTCCAGAATCACTCTGTGCAGCTGTCCCATGACTACAAAGGCTGGCTGTTCTCCCAGGAAAAACAGTGGGGGATCCCTATAATGATCATCATCATGTGTTGTCAAATCTATTCAGACTTATTATGATCCTTTCCAGAATCACTCTGTGCAGCTGTCCCATGACTACAAAGGCTGGCTGTTCTCCCAGGAAACTCCCAAACTTGGCTTCCACAGCCAGGTATCCAAACCACTGAGCTATCCAGCCAGCTTCTGTATGTGACATATTAAACACAAAATAAACACAAGCAGGGCCAGCTGTTATCCTCTCATTTTCTAGCAGTGTGAGTTTGAGAACTAGCTCAGCTATAAAAACTGTAGATCATATGTATCGTTACAACTCAAAAAAGATTCATCGAGTCTCTGAACAAGAATCAAGTATGGAATGAAATATCAGACAACCTGTTAAACACAGGTGTTTTTCAAATCAAGTTTCTAAACTCAACTGATAAACAGAAATGTTACAAGGAACGTGAGCAACAACTAGTAATGAACTGCCAGGTGTGACTTCCCTAGGATACTGCCCTATCGATCTTTCATAGTTACTGGTCCATATTGCTTATCTATGTCCATATGCCCTCATCGTGTGATATCTAACCATAATCATCTGGTAGACCAATTGAAAAATAAGAAACAACTTAAATGTTGAAGAATAATATCAGCTCATTTGTTTTCAATCATTTATTATTGTCAGAGAAGGAGGAGTGACTCTTTAGGGCTTACTTGCTCATCATGCCTACTGATTGCAGTCTGAGGTCACTGACAGTCCTGGAGCACTATATTATAGACTTTACAGTTTAAAGGTTTTCTAATGTTATGTTTAAAGGTTTCCTAATGCATTGTCAGCACTGACAAAGAAAGTCCAGAGCCACTGAGAATGCTGTCTTATATAGTTTAGTAGTATGCCTTACATGAATTGAATGTTAAAGAAAATGTTAACGTTAAGATAATAGCACAAAAAACTGGACAGCCTTTGATGCCACTGATTAAATGTTTGTTTTTGGTTCTAATGAAATAATAAATGGGCTATAACATAGCACAATTCTGTTACATATTAGTAAATGTTTCATTGAGATCAGAGCTCTAAAATGTCAGTCTGTGCTGAATGATTTTTATAGACAAATAAATATGAGAGTAAATGCCAAATAAACACACAGACTTAACCACATTCCTAAGAGTATTTGGAGAAGCCATATTCACAGTAGTTTGCGGTTATCCCACTTTCAGGAATTCAAACAAGGAGAAAATGAGCAAATGCCAAATAAAACTCCAGTCTAACTCCATAAAATTGTTTTTTTTCTAGGAAATCATGAAAAAAAAACTCTTTCAGGAGAAAAGACACAATTTAATCAGGGACCATTCCTTACAAAGAGTTACTTGCTTTTGTAATATTATCATGAAGGTATACGACATCAAACAAAATGTTTTAAATGCCTAACAGTGGCCCATGTGTTGGTAATTTCTAAAATATACTGTAATTCTCTCTACATACAACTGCCTTTGAAGTTAGTATGGAAACTTCAGCAAGTCCAAAATGCGACAGCCAGAATAACAACAGGCACAAGCCGATATGAACAAGCCATATCCATGCTTGGTGCACTTTCATTGGCTCCCTGTTAGTTTACATACCTGGTTCAAAGTGCTGGTCATGACTTATAAAGCCCATAACATCTCTCTCACAAAACAGCTACCCATCTCACCTGCTCCTCGCAGTCTACGATGTTAAAAATGGTAGTACTGAAGGAGGCCAAAAGAATCAACAGAAGGAACCATATTTTTTTGTCATGGCCCTTCTATTTGGAATATACTTCCAACAGAGACTCTTCAGGTGCCTTCCCTCTCTGTTTTTAGGAAATTACTTACAATGTATTGTTCAGTGCTGCCTTTTATTAAATACCTGAGATGCTCAAATTTGTTTAGAATTGTTTAATTCTACTGAAAGTTAGGTTTTAGCTAAGGACAGAGTCTTATCTAT